GTGTAATCAATTGAAATCTTTGTTCTATGGTTACTTGTTTCAAGTGATTGGTGTAATTGGTATTAGGAACGCTGTACCACCTGATGTATTGATGGCTATTTGTGTATTTCAACAAGTACACCGATAAGGACAACTGGAGAATCGATGAATAAGTCAACGCATAAATCATCACTTACTATGAATACATCTACTAAAGGTTGACTAAAATCTTTTTCATCTAGTTCCTATGCATTCTATCGTAATTTTTATCGTATAATGAGACGGTATCCGCAGTGTCGACCATATTGAACGTGTACATGATGATGACGACGGTGATGATGATGATGAAGGAGATGAATATTATGCTTTGCTACTCATCTATGTTAAAAGATTAGATCATCTGATGTGTTTTTCGTTTTATTGATTATTATTATCCACATTGTAAGCTAGGCAAACAACTTCACTTTTAATATTCATGATTAATTAAGAGTGATCATTCTATTGTCTATACTGTGATCATAATCCTTTCTGTGAAGTTGATCTTTCTTTTCTTCATCTCTCTTTCTCCGTCTTCCTGTATTTGTGTGGCAACTTGAATCAGTCAGTACACTATGATATAACATGTATTACTAATAATTGAAATATATTATGTTTGTTATACACGTTGATAAGCCACTTGTTTTGATAAGACTGCCCGTAAAGTCACAGTATCGGATTATTTAACTTGGGTATGTTTTACATGTATGGAGTTTCACTTACTTTTGAGCTTTCTTGTAGTGTATAAGCGTGCGGTGTATGTCGAGTTATCATTAAGTATAACTTATTAACTAACTTGAAATAACAGTCATTACTTAATTTATTCGTCATTGTCAGTTTCGATATAAACTCCTTTTTGTATCATACAGTTTTGCCATTTTGGCTTGAAAACTGTTTTTGTAGTGCAGATGTATCCGTGTCGTATCTTCATCTAAGTTTCCAGAAACTGTATCATCATATATAGTTTCACTTATTGAAAACTCTCATTTAGACAGATTGATCGAAGAAATATTTCTTTTCATTTAAGTCTTCTCCATAGGCTTTACTCAAATATATAGGTTTTGTGTCTGATCCTGCCAACGACCTAGATTTTGTCTGACGCGTGACTGAAGCTAGAGAACAGCAAACTCGAGAAAACCAGGCAGATTTCACACATGGATGAGTGTACATCGATCATATTTTCACCCTCTGACAGGTTCTCCAACACAGGCATATCTACCGGCCACTGACCGATACTTGCCATATTTCTTGACCTGTAGGCGACAGTTCACTCAGTCGATCGTGAGGTGTTGTGGTAGTGTCTGACTGTAAAGGAAATACGGAGTGCATACTTAACACTAATCAAAGCTCTCTAATAGGACTCACATAGCCATGTAAGGACTTATGGAGAGTTGTCTTCAGAAATGATGGCAGTTAATGGTATCCACTAGGGATGTCCACTGTCAACGTTCCCATTTGACTTTGTCATAGACTTACTATTGGACATCACCTTAAGTACGTGTGACTCCATATGGATTGATCTACTCATTGGAGGTCATCTGGTTTACTTGGAATATATAGATGATAATGTCTTGTCACGTGAAGACGTTGACAAAATACGGGGTCTTATAAACACTAGTATATATTCCACTGGCAACCTGTTCAATGTGAGATCATGCTCCATTAGTGGTGTGCTGCAAGTACTCTCAGTTTAATGATGGGGAGTGAAGTGGTGGAATGTGTCGACCACTTCACTTACTTAGTGATTTGCATCAACTCGGATGGGTTGGTTACTGACGAAATCTCAGGTGAGATACTGAAAGTTTGTTTGGCATTCATCAACTGGTGTCACCTGTGATGCCTATTGACGAGATATCTGACTATCTATCAAATGACGAGTATATTCCGTTCCGTTGTGTTTTATGGCTGTGAGACAAGGCCGTGGAAAGTAGAAGATATGAAGTGGTTACAGGGTTTTAATCATAGGTGTATTCGTAGCGTTGTTCACATTTGGTGGGATCCCAGAGTGACAATGTTGAGGTCAGGCGAAGGGTACTTACTAGGCAGAACAGGCAAGTCGACCAATGAGGTTTTAAGGCTTGTTGGACTGAGATGGTTTGGTCATGTATACTGCGCATGTGCAGCTACTGCCTACTTTGACGTGGTATGCTAGGAGAATTTTGACTAGGTTGGAGGAGTTAAGGGTGAGAAGACGAAGATATGGCACGATTCGATGAAGTCCCTAACTGATGGTCTGAACCATGTTAGAAGGTGTAGTCTGCTTGTCTAGGGTCTTCGGGACGATAGAAATCGGTGGTTGAGGATTCTTGGTGATATGGTGGAAAAATCGATCACAATGGTGTAGATGTATTCTTTGTACTCCTTGCCATCTTCTGAAGCTTGGATATTTTCATTAACCGTCATCTTCAAATTATCCATTCTCTGACACAAGTTTGTGTACTCTGATATCACCCTTTTACATCCACCTGTTCTTTTTTATACTATTGTAAAGTGTGGGAAGTTGGGTTGTTGCGCTTGCGAGCGAAGTTCTACGTTGATTCCATCTATCTTCACCTTCAGTCATCCTCCGGTGTCAACCAAACCTGTTTGCCAAACCATGTCTGTTACACATAGTCATATTGATTGTACCATTTAATGGTGATGCGTTAATTAACTGAAATAATTTTAACTATCCGGTTACGCATGTGACTAGCACTTGAAGGAATAAAGATACAAACGGATGAGTACGGTAGTTACATAAAATTGACAGGATTGTGGAATGAAGCAAGTTAGGTTGTTACTTCACAGATGACATGGCAACTGAGTAATGGGGTGCATGTTAACGGAATTAAGCAGTAATGGGGAGGCAGAAAATTAAAGAGACGGATAATATGAGCTGAAGAGGAAAGAGGTTCTTTTGCTAACAAATTATAGTGTTTTAGACAAAAACTGCAATAAATTGGAGTTAAACGGTGACTTGTTTTGATGGCAAAGCTAATGACAGAGGTTTTACAGATTTATTTTGAATATAAAAATTCTGTTTGCGTAGGTGAATGGTAGTAGCTTCTATCGTATGTAGCAATCGAATACGTAGACTATGCCGAAGATTGGCTAGTGTAAGGTAAATAACTGTGAAAGGCCTGCTTCTATTCACTTTATGATTAGTATCTACCAAATTTGCTAGTACTTAGCTTTTTGTTGTTTTAATCTGTCCTCTACTCAGACTTACTAGATGGTGTTCATAAATCTTTTGATAGGACTGCCTAGTTGTACGCCTTACGTAACTATCTCCACGGAAGCAGTTAAACTAATAAATGCGTATGGAACAGGCAGGATCATAAAGTTTATCTTGCTACCCTGCTGCTACAATTGGCCGACTGTAAAATATAGGACATAGCACTGAGCATTTTCTGGAAATCTCTTATCGAACGTTGCGTTATAATCTCTGTTTATCTTATTTCGCTTAATGACGCCTTGTAACGTGTGAAAGCCTCAAGCCTTCACTTGTTTCTTACCTTTGATGGCCATTTTTCACAGCCATATAATAAAAAAGAATGAACTGCCGCTCAGTAAACTCGACCCTTATTAAGTGATTGAATAAATTGACAGCGCATAAATGGTTTAGGTCGGTGAAAGCCAAGTAAGCCTTTTGTATTTGTTCAGAGATTTCATCGACCACTGACCCACTTACCGGGGTTATGTGACTTCCTTGATAAGTGAAATGGTTGATGCATCCAACCATTTGACTCTCTATTGTTAGACGAGACACCAGTGGAGACCAGTTGTAGAGTAATACTTTGCATTTTGATGGCGAAAAACGCATCCCAAACATTCACAAACTAGCCACTTAAGATGTTCAAAAGACTATGCATTTTGTCAGGGTCTTCACTTAGCTGGATTACGTCATCTGCACACCGTAGATCTACTAAAGAGTTTCCTGTGAGATGTCCGTAGAGTGAGATGACTAAAGAGAGGCCGTTATATGTAAATCTGTGACAAAGTTGAATAAAAATGGAGAGTGTAAACATCCTTAATGAGCATCACTTGGTGTATACAACTCACATGGTCACTCACTATAGGCCCTGACACTCCCAGAGCCTTCAGCAGAATGATATGCGTACCTAGCATTACTTTGAGTAAGAGACACTGCCAAAAGACTTGTTTGTGGATGGAGTCGAATGCCGCCTACAAATCGAGAAATGTAGCAAGTGTGGGTGCTGGTAAGTGTGTCTGTGTTGCTGAACCTGATGGAGTGTGAACATCTAGTCTATGCACCCACAGCCAGATATAAATCCTACCTAGTTTTCTCAGATCCATTATTCCTGAGCTTGAATTAGTCACTGAATGATTACGGAACCTGGGATCATGGCGATTATCTTCATTAAGGTGATTTCCCTATTATTATCATGCGATAATTTCATCTCCCTTCTTGATAACCGGGACAATAAGTGATTGAGACCAATCAGAGAGGATCATATCTGCTTCCTAGGTTTCGTTGAAGTGTAACTCAAATCATCTGCTAGGATATCATTCATCTATTACAAATTAGGTTTTAATAGAATCCTTTACTAGTGAATTGTTAATTAACTCCTCATTATAAGGTTATATTTTATTCAAATAACAAAAAACTTATGATGAGTTGGCAGAAATGTAGTATAACTTTTTTCCTGCATAGTAGATGATACACATGAAAATTTATGACGTTAGAGTTGATGTATCCAGGTTTTGTATCTAGCTTTTAACCGTGAACATCTTTTTTATCAACTACTCATACAGTTCTTGTATTTAAAGTTTCTCGTTTGTAACCGAATTCATGTTTCGCTTAAGTTTTGTCTTTGTCTAGTCAACTTGTCATTGAAACCAGTTTAAATCATTGTTCACGCTTTCTGCATGTAAATAATCTAAGTAGAGTAGGATATTATGTGTAATTCGTGTATTCATTCTTACTTCGGATTACTTGTCTACTGATCTGACTTATCTGTTTTCCTTTTTTTGTTTTTAATCAGGCTTTGTTGGATCAAAAACGTTTAGTTACAATCTATTGGGTCAATGATATCCTTGCAAAGGGTAGAATGATTCCTCCATTTGAAATCTTACATCTACCATCACCATTTTCTAAAGAAATAACATTTTCATTTATACGTGCACAGGTAAATGGTTTTCTATATCACCACCTGTGTATACTGAGATGCTGTAATTTAAAGTTTATTCAAATTGATAACAAATTCATCATTTATACCTTCTAGTGAAAGAGATTAATAATATTGAGTTGATTATTATTGGCAGTAATGTAGTTAACTTCTGATTGGTTTATCACTATTCTATGATATACTTGTTACAGTCAAAATTCAACTGTTTTGGCGTGAGTGTATCGTATGATCTAAAAGTCAAGCACGATTCCACCAGGTGTAACAACTGCAGTGTTCTGTTTATCGACCAAAGCTTCCTTGAGTCTCGAGAAGTTAACAATTATGTCCCCAAAACATCGAAATACAGCTGACGCAATATATCTGCAGTACTAGTTTAATCATAATAAAATTTATTTTTCCTTTAGGTTCCTAATGGAACATAAGGCTTCAGTAGCACGTCTCCATTTCACTCTCTTCTCTGCAGTCCTTTGTAGCTGTCTCCACCACTACCCACAACCTTTCATTTCTTTCTCACACGGTCTCCTCCATGTCATTCTCAGCTCGGACACCCAACTCGTCGTTTCCCCTCTGGGTTTCATCTGTGTTGATCTCTTCCCTGAAATTGTGTGACAAACATAAATCATCATCAGCGAAATCCAAATCTTCTAGGCTCTTTTCATCCGTCAAACAGCGTATGCCCATCTTCTTGCTGCTCACAGTTGTCTGTTGCATGATCCAGTCCAGTTCAGTCGACCATAATCGGGAAGATCATCGGTGATAGTAGGTGGTAACCTTACTCCTGTCTTCACTTCAAAGGCATCACTGAGCTTTCCATTGTGAATCACTTGGCATGTGGCGTCTTCATATAGCTGTTGAATGGGGTTGATGAAGGTATGGACCACTAAAACCGTAGTGTTGAAGCAGCTGCCTGCCAAATTACTTCTCGGTCGCCGCTATCGAAGGCCTTTTCAAAGTCGATGAAGTTGAGGTAGAGAGTTGACTGCCGTTCCATGCTCTGTTCTATGATGATGCGTAGCGTTGAAATGTGATCCTCACATCACTTGTTTTTTCTGAAAACAGTCAGCCTGTTTCGGTCGTAATTGTGAATGGAGAGCATCTTCTAGTCTCTCCAGGATGATGCGGCATAATATTTTGCTTGGGGTGTATAGGAGTTAGGTATGATTCCTTGCCGGTCCTTGCAGAGACTTAGGTCTCCCTTCTTTGGGAGTTTGACATGGTAGCCCTTCTTCCAGTCAGTTACCAGGTACCTTTCCTTCCTTCCAAACCTTCTGCAATGATGGTGTGAGCATGCCCACTGTTGTCTGTGCGTCTGTTCTCAGTGCTTCTGGAGGAACTCCATCTGGTTCTACTGCTTTCCCGACTTTCAGCAGCTCTATAAATGTTTACCTCAATGATGGTGCTGTATAAGCAGCCAATAATAGTTTTTTGATAAGAAAAATCATTTACTGTGCAACGGAATGAGTCAGTTAGATGGAATCATAAGATACTTCAGAATAATTAGTAGAACCCCACAACGAAAAGGTGGTCGAATATTTGTCTGCTAGAATGAAATCAAATCACAAAAAAACTTCCAATAGACATCAAGTGCCCAATCACAATAATGTTGAGTGAGACGAAACAACACCCTGAGGTGAATAAAACAAACTTGATGTGAACCTAAAAACACTATTGTCAAACGAACCCTAGATGTATCTAGGATGTTTGTATGCGTTTGTGTGTGACATGAAAAGATACTGTCATAAAGAAGATGTCATTCAACTAGGTTGCATTCATGATCAACTGTAAAAAAATTGTGATTTTGGACAAGATGATGGGATTTTTTAGACGTATTCTGTAACAGTATCGGTGTATCTTTCCGCGTAAATGTCCACAGATACAAGTTCCACTCATGGTTTCATGCTCTGCATTCTTCTTCGCATGCGATAATTTGCGTAGTTGTTAAGTAATGGTAGTAATACTTCCAAAATAGCTTTCATCACAGACCGTTACGGCTTGAAGACTATTGAGAGCTTATATGCTACAGGCAAACCATCGATTAAAATATTATCTAGTACTCATTAGTAAATTCCTTCATGATGAATTTCCTGAAGTTGTTATAAGAAACTATGATTTGTAAAGTCAACTAAATTGTTCTTAAGGGTGGATGCTTGCTGATAACGTTAGGTACATCTTGAATCGATTGTAATTGAAAACCGTAAACCTCCCAATCTTGACCTAGTAGTAAAATGGTATTATACTCACCACCAGAAATGATGATGATGTGAGCTCCATTCCTTATAGGCTCATAGTTGCTTACTACTGATGAGTCCCGAGCTAGGACGAAATAGTTGTTCAGTACTCTCAAGTTTTTAGTTCACTGGATGTTACTCGTATATGAGAGGTAATTAGAAATCACTTAACCCCCCAATTCAATTATCACTTCAAATTCGACGTAAATATATATGATTGTCGTTTGGTATTATAAATGCACTGTGAGTAGTTTACTGATAGGCTCATTATGTGGAGCTTTCATTAGGTCAAGTTATCTTTCGTATTAGTGAAACTAAGATATCTTTTTTGGTAATTTTAACTGTAGATAATATCACTAACGGGTTTTGAAGGTAAAGATCGTCAAAAGATTGAAGTTATTATACGTCAAATTGGTGCTACTTTTACAGATTATCTTGAACCATCGAATACACTATTGGTTTGTAAACAGTAAGTTCTTTCTTTCATATCATATTTCATCTTCTTTTCTTTTTTATCAATTAAGTATGTTCCCACATAGTCTTTTAGGATTATATTTGGAGGTTTGTGGGGAGGTTTATTAATTGATTTTAGGTTGGAATTCATCATGGACTGGACTGACATCTGTTAGAGGAACATTGGAAACCTGGGAGCACTGGACAGCTGTTTCGTCCCACTAGTATGGGACTCCTGAGCAGTGTGCACCCATGACCCTGCCCCACTATGAATCGAACTCAGTACCTTCAGGTCCTGTGACCAGTACATTACCATTGATCTACCCAGTGGGTCAGAATCCAACGATCCACATTTCCCACTTCTGTTAGTTCACGATATAGTGCGACCTACATGCGATGTCGTCGTTGAGTAACTGTCCTCATGTTCAACTTGATTAACTCCACTGGTCACGACTTCTCATTGGATCTTCGGGAATCACCTCTCGAAGCTAGTCACCAATGAGCGCTGGATTGATTCTATCCGAAGGTTTGTGGAGGTTTATTATTTGATTGTAGGTTGAAATTTATCTTAGATTGACTTGTTTTCTGAGCTGAGGTTTCAGTTAGGAGTGGTCCGACCAGGTTCAGCATATCCAGACAGAATTACTAAACGGCCAATCAGGTGAAACTAAGGTAAACTATCCAGCTATAAATGTCTACATGCAACCAATTTGCTTCATTTCCTTGTGAAGCACTTATGATCATGTCGGGCATTATACTGAAACGTTTATTGCCTCAAACCCCACCTTAGAGAACAAAACATGAACATCTACATCCTGAGCTACATATGTGACTCTCTCGTTGTAACCTGTACTACATTTATTCTCAAGCAGTATACTTGACCACACAGCTTAAACATCAATTTGTTGTTTTGTTGCTTACCAGTCAACGCTTTTTGTACACACTTCTCAATTGTTCCTGGATAAGCAGTTCCAATTCTCCTCTTTCTATGCTACAGGGGAGAGGGGAGGAAAAATAATAATGCTAACTCTTAGTTGATCAGTTTACTACATGGATGTATTGTAAAAAGCTGTTATGTCTGTACTCATTTGTCAACTGTGATAAAATTTAAGAAAAATTTCCATTTTCATTGTTTTCTGATGATTAACCACCAATATACCTTTTTTGTGTGTCAGTTTCTACGCTTTTTATGATCAACGTAGATAAATGATACAAACGAAATATGAGATTATTTTCATTACACAGAAGTATAATATGAAGCTTATAGTTTTGCTACGATCCTAAACAGAGGAGTAACACTTGGGCACTGTGTAATTGCGAGCGGAACTATAACCGAGCTTTTCTCCAAATTTCTTATCTTATTAGGACCTTTATTTAGCGAAGTTTTTGTGCGCTGTTATTCTAACCGAACCCGGTCGACTACTTTCACCTGTATACTTGACCTTGCAATTATTGTGAGGGATTTGGTAAACCAGATTTTTTTGCCTAATTGCATCATTAGAACCTTTAACCCTGGAAAGATTGTTTCTAAACAAGTTTGTTGGTTTGAATGCCACTTTAATCCACGCCAGCCCTATCGAGAATTCTTCGTAATGCTTCTGAGGTGCCTTCCTTGCATGGTAACACAGTAGGGGCTTTGAATTCTCTCTTAACCCTGTCGCCATTGTTACCACTAGTAGTGGGATTATTATTCATGTTATCTGTATTACTACTACTGCTACTAGTACCACTGGTAATATTTTTCTTCGATTTCTTATGAATTTATCGATAAATCTAGGTGGGTAGTTGTTGAGACGTAAGCTATTCTTGCAGTGTCTAATTTCTTGTTGCAGATTTTCTGGCCTAGTAGTAAATTTTGCTGTCCTATCACACAGTAGGATGGGATAGAGTGACAGAGTTGCAAACTAACTTAGTTGGTTGGAGAGAGGGAGAGATTGATAACCGACTGCTCACTTATCGAACCAACGCCAAATACATGTGGTAATATAAATGATTCTACACCTGTCCCAGATACATGGAACATTCTACTATCCTTGTCATCACAAAGGAGGAGAGAAAATGAGGACTATATAAACTCTGTCTCAAAGTTGTGGAGTTGGTTACCTGATATGAATATGGACAATAAATTGTCTCCGAAACGATGTTATCTCGTAAGCGATACTGTCGCTTCACTGTGTGATATTTCTAGTAAGCAGACTAAAATGGAATCCTAAGCAGATATTGAGCAACTCATAAACTCCTACAATAATACATCTATTCAAGTTGCTTACTGTATAAAAGAAGTGTACAGTGTCAAAATATGCCAAGAAACTACTGTAGACGGGAGATGAAGTGATTGAGTATAGAGTGATAAGCTAATTCATTCAGTGGCCGGATTTGATTTACATCACCTAGAGTGTATTTGCATGGCGTCTAACCAGCAGTCAGCGACTTTTTATATTGCTGTCATGTTTTGTTCTGGTCACCCTGAAGTTTCTTATTGTTTTCTCCTGTTACAGACAGAGAGAATCAACGTAGAACCTCTCAATCAAATACATCGGTTCACGTTGCCACACTTCACAGTAGAACACAAGGATCAGGTGGATAGAAAATGTGTGTACCCGAATGTGTAGTTTCGAATGCTGTCGTATCTCTCTCCTATGTCGGGATCATATCACAGATTACTTGGATGGTTCTTATCTTCCTAACCTGTGATAGGTGAAAGTGAAAACAAGTAGTCATATTATCCATCTAATACTTAAGAGTTATGAATTATAGAGTAATACAATTGATTTACAAAACTCGTGATGTATAAGAATAGGGATATTATTGAAGGATAGTAGCGGGGAGTGGTATCGAGGACACACGTTTCGTCCTGTTTGGGACTCGTCAGCTGAATGTTTGTGCCTCCTGGTGGGTGGTATTGTTCCCACTATGACTGGAACTTAGGACCACTAAGTCATGATAGTCACTGTTCGTATGATGGGCAGTGTTGAAGCATCCATACGGGAACCCATACGTCAATAGTATCCGATTGGTTCAATCAACAACGGAGATGCACAAGTTATAGCATCAAAGACTACCAGAATAGTGATTTAAGAACCTCAAGTCAACCACTTTAGCCAGAGAAAAAAAGAGTCAAAGACTGCCACATAACTACCAATTTCTCGTAACCTGAGAATATATTAATGAGTAGTTAAGCGTATAGACAGGACTAAGATTATTTTTTTGAGAAGTACTTTTCAATGTAATGTAATAATAATCCATTTAGGCCGTTGTCTAAGTTCCATGTTTCTTGAAAATGAGAGAGAAAGCCTTCATAATGCATAGTTTGTTCTCACTCCTTTCATGTTCATCAAGGGAACTATGTGTTTGAGACCTACAACGTAATCTGGAATTATCAGTATTATTATTATTATTATTATTATTATTATTATTATTATTATTATTATTATTATACTAATATGCACTTACTACAAGTAGCTTACAACACAGAGTATTACATGACTCTGTACTAAACCAATGAAATTCGGATATTTTTACTTTGCCGAATTTTGTATATATTTCTCCATCAGTCATATTTCTGTATATCTACACATTATAATTATATTTTAGACCTTCAGGTAAAAAGTATGAAATGGCACAATTATGGGGTATACCATGTATCAATATACGCTGGTTACAAGATCTGTATTTCGGTGACTTAACAACTCTGTCATTATCAGTGCCTCATAAATATTTATGCTTTGAAACATCAGATGTAACTATTTCACTGGAACGATGTACTCCACGTGTACAAGATTTAATGGGTTAGTTTCTTTTCTGTTTACTTTTTAAATTTAGTGATAAATATTCGGTAACTTATGTAATCGTAGTTATGTTTGTTTCCGGTGACTACATGACACCGCAGTATGAATAAAGTCAGATTATCTCAGAAGTTGTTGTTCGTTAAACTTATCAAAACTTTATATCCCTATCTAGGGGATCCGGAGATAGAAAACGAAACACTTCAAAGCAAATAGTCCAAGTTACTCTGTCTAGTGTACTTTCCGATGGATTGGAAAATGTTGAATTTGGTCTTAAGTAATGTCACTGTCATATAAACTGTTGGCAGGTCCTAAGACAGAATGAAATTACGTGTCTAGTACTATTTAGTTTAACCTTCTACACCGTATTAATATGAAGAATTGAAACAGGTTAAAAATTGATAAAGAAGTATCAGTTATCTTACCTGTTGTCGATATATCTATGTATATATTCTTTTGCACATCTCTTTTATGTTTTTTAACATTGTAGTTTGTCTGACTGAATTGTCTTCTGAATGTACACAACTACTAACAAACTATCCTTCAAAGAGCTTATTTCTTTCAGTAGTGTAACTGGTTTCAAATGTATTGTGATATGATAATTATCTCGATGAAAAGGATTACTCCAACTGATTGATGATTAGGTAGCGAGCATATCTTTTCTTCAAAAGTAGAGTGGACCATCATCATTTATCCAAATCAACATAGGACCAGTCATTACGGCGTAACGGTCCGAGTTACCGCACCTCATATCACCACATCAAGTAAAAAGGTAGTGAAGTACAAGATGAAGATGAAGAAAAGAAAATTCAGTCAAAAGAAATATAAAGTACTCAAAGAGAGAAAGGAAGAATGAGAAAGTGGTGAGATTCGGTTATAGCGTCGTTAAGATGAGGATAATGTGTATGTAGATCTGAGCCACTGACATCAGTTCTCAGCCATGTCATGTCATCACGTAGGGTCAGGTTCCAACCACTGGTTTCTCTTGTCCCGTCGACTCCAACCACCCAGTCTGCATCGCCCCACAAGGCTCAAACCAACAGTCGAACACTTCATATATTGATGCCATGTTTTAGTCTGGCCGTCTCGAGCCTCGAGTCATTTTCCAGCCTGAATCTACTTCGACCGACATTGTGTGACGAAGCAGACGGCGACTAGGCAAACGTGCCACATGTCGCAGCCAACCCTCTCAGTCGATGAGGCTTCACAACATCGTCAACTGACTTACCTCTTCTCCCTGAAACTATCTCTACACCTGACTTCTGTGTTACTCATGTGGTGACACCATGGAATACGACCTCTACTATGAAGGCAGTGGTGGTTAAACACTTGAAGCCTTCTTCCCATGTCTTCCCCCTTTAATGGCCATGTTTCACAGCCATAGAGTAGACCAGAGTGGACTGCTGTGCAGTACACGCGATCCTTAATAGACAATTGGATATCATCATGGTGGTGCCACAGGTGGTGTAGGTTGGTGAAAGCCAACCAAGCTTTTTGTATTCGTGCAGAGATTTCATCGGCCATTGATCAATGCACCAGTGCTGATCCTACTTCCCAGATAAGTGAAGTGGTTGACACACTCAACAACTACACTCTTAATTGTTAACCGTGGCACCGTTGAAGGCCAGTCCTGGCGCAACAATTTGCATTTGGATGGTGAGAAACACATCCCAAACATTCTCAAGTGTTTGGTGCGGTAAAATATTGAGTGCTGTCAAATTTCAGTTGTGTTTTTTTAATCTGGATAACTATAGTGATGGTGATGTTGATGTAGACATGTAACATTTTTGACTGAAAGTTTAACATAAATAATATAGGCCTAGATTATACGTTATGATAGAGAGTGATTCTGTACCTTTTGCATCGAATCCATCGAACGTATGCCTGGTGCTGGTATCCTCTACATAGAGTGTAAGATGTGATTTACTTACCTGGGTTGCATGTTATGACTGCAGAACCATCATGTACCACAGAAGTAGATGTTTCCTGGAGTATGTTGAAAAATGTTGAGGATAGTGAGTTCAAGGCATGATGTTAATCTATGGAACCTTTGATTGCTTATTTGAGCCGTGTTGGTCAATGTTGGCTTCTTGGTTGGGATCTTCATATCAACTTAAGGTCAATCGTATCGGTTTATATTCATTTACACTTCGTCTTAATTTTATTCGTTATAATATATGACTTTAATATAAGTGTAAAACTTGGACACCGTGGTCGAGTGTAATACCATCTTAGCCTGTTTTTTAGAAATATCACACAGTGAAACACAAGCATTTACTTGATAACGTTTCGGACACAATTTATTATCCATATTCATATCAGGTAACTCCACAACTTCGAGACAGTCTTTATATATTCCTCGTTTTCTCTCCTTCTCTGTGATGACACGGGTAGTAGGACTTTCCATATATCTGCGACAGGTGCAGCATCATTTCGATTGCATGTGCTTGGTGCTGATTCGATAAACAAAGATTCGGTTATCAATCTCTCCCTCACTCCACCCAACTGTCGCCCTATCCCACCCTACTGTGTGATTGTGTCATCGCATGCAGAGCTATAGCTGAGTTTTTCTCTAGATTTCTTATCTTATTAGGATCTACTTATCTTGATTTAGCTAATTTTTTATGCGCTGTTATTCTGATCGACCCCGGTCGACTGCTTTGACCTATGTACTTGACCTCGCAATCATTGCAAGGAATCTGGTAAACCAGATTATTATGCTTAATTGTATCGATAGGATCTTTTAACCTACAGAGCTTGTTTCTAAGTGAGTTTGTTGGTTTAAATGCCACTTTAATCCACGCCAGCCCTATCGAGAATTCTTCGTAGTGCTTCTGAGGTGCCTTCCTTGCATGGTAACACAGTAGGGGCTTTGAATTCTCTCTTAACCCCGTCGCCATTGTTATCACTAGTAGTGGGATTATTATTCATGACATCTGTATTGCTACTACTACTGCTACTAGTACCACTGGTAATATTTTTTTTCGATTTCTTATGAATTTATCGATAAATCTAGGTGGGTAGTTGTTGAGACGTAAGCTATTCTTGCAGTGTCTGATTCATTGTCGCAGATTTTCCTATCTACTAGTAAGCTTTTTCGCTCTATCACCTATGCATTTAACTAAGCCTACTTTAACTGAGATGGGGTGGGAGGATTCGAAGTCTAAGTAGCGATTCGGATAGGTAGGTTTCCTATAGATACTAGTCTCTAGATTTCCTTCTTGTGTTCGTGTAATCTTGGAATCCAACATTGCTAGCTCACCTTCTTCACTTTCTAAGTCACAGGTAAATTGGATTGCATTTACTACTGAATTTATATGTGCCAAAAATCTATTGATGTGTTCCGATTTCAGTACTGTAAACGTATCATCTATATATCGGAACCATATCTGTGGAGTAGGACTAAATGTTTAAAGGGCTACTTGCTCCCAACTATCCATAAATATGTCTGCGACGATAGGGGATATTGGTGATCCTATGGCAACACCTTCAGTTTGTTTTTATATTTTTTTATTTTGAAACGTAAAAACTGTGGATGTTAGGCACAATCGTACTCTTAGTATGATTACCTCGATCGGCAGCTTAGTTCGCTGCTTTAGTTCTTTGTCATCTTTAAGCCCATTTCGAACTGCCTCCAGAGCCATGTCAATCGGTATGTTTGTGTAAAGGCTAGTTTTGTCAAAACTAACCATTTTTTTCATATTAGATTTGTTTATTTGATGTATAGCGCACAGTGATACAGTATTATTTACTTGATTACGTTTCGAGCATAAATTATTGCTCGTAATCATATGATTATGATTATGAGCAATAATTTATGCTCGAAACGTAATCAAGTAAATAATACTGTATCACTGTGCGCTATACATCAAATAAACAAATCTAATATGGAATTACATTCTACCACAGTGCCCAAGTTTTTCACTTATAACCATTTTTTTCACTGTCGTCTAAGTGTATGTCGTCTAACCTATGCTTAAGTCGTAAGAGTTGGTAAGTCGAGACTTTGAGTGATTTCTTATTGAGTCTAGCACCATTGGTAAATATTTAAGCAACTCGTAAGTCGAAGTGTTTCTAAAATCTATTATAGGCCTGATGGGATGACCTGGCTTGTGAATCTTAATAGTACCATACATTCTACTGGGATTATTAGTTTTTGGCATTAAATTAAACCACTTTGACTCACCTAAAAATAGCTTCATCCGTTGTATCAGATCCTCTGTCGATTTCTTGACCTTATTCATAATAGTATCCACTGACTTCTTAATTTCCTCATATGGTCCTGTTTCTATATGCTCGTTCACCTTGCAGATGTCAGATTTGTTCATCACAACTATTGAGTTGCCTTTATCCGATTTGGCAATTACTATATGGTTATCATTTTGAAGGTTTCTGAGAGCTTCCTACTCTGACTTGGGTAAATTAGATTTCACTTTGTTCTGTCGTTTCAGTGTTAGAGCACACTGTGCTTTTTCCTTATCTGCAGTTGTCTTATCTATTGAACTTAACGCTATTTCTATTTTGGGTATGACATCTTCTGGTTTCAACTCCTTAACCGCCACATTGGAATTAAGACCTTTCTCCAGCACTTTCACTTCTGTTGAGCTTTGGACTCTTTGTTTTCTAATGTTTGTCGTCATCTCATGATATCATTTTGAATGTTGTTAGCTCTGTACTCAATTTTTCTGTCTCTTTTCTTTTTGACATTCATGCATATATACTGATAACTTGAATCGTTACCCAGTAATACCAGGATTCGTGTAGTCGATGATTGAATATGCTTCTTCAGACGTTTTTAGTGAATGAAGTACTTGCCTTGTAACATTTACGTACGCGTTGTTTTTAGTATACGCTAAAATTTTGTCTGAAATTATAAGGATTTAAGTGTTATAATATCGGTATACTGTTGGAACTTTTCATCATAATTATTTTGTTAACACTAGTACATTTAGGATGATCTCTTCATGAAGTAAATACTGTTGAACTCGCTTAACCTGAGAACAAAACGTCGCCGAACAAGTCTCAAAGCTTTGGGAATACTAAACAGTCATCATCTTCATGCTAAACTACAAATTTAATCTACTATGAATGAATTTTTCACAGGTTTCATGGTCTATGTTGACATTTACTAATTTATTTTCTTAATACGTAACTTATATCTGAACATGTCTTTTTGCTAGAATTATATGAATGTAATGTGTAGAAGAGATAGTACTGATATTTGGTGATAATTGAGGCTGGAATAGAAATCTGAACCGCTGCTGGATTCGAACCAGTGATCACCGGGTTTACGACCCGATGTTCTACCAATTGAGCTACCATGCCCGACTCTTGACCAGATTTTATTTCATTTCAATCATCGGGGATTTTGCCCGACTACCATGTGAATTCGTGATGCGTTAGTATTGCTTGATCGTACTCACACTGGGTGCCTAGTTAGTACTTGTCATCCTAATCGAAATGTAACTGAATTAGTAAGGAGAGGGAGAAGGAGAAGGAGGAGGAGGAGGAGCATCATATTTATTATCATTTGACTATCTGAGATAGCTGTGTGTAGTTTGACAGACTATTATTTATACTGGATGATGATTGAAAGTGAAACTGAAATTTGGACTGCGGCTGGATTCGAATCAGTGACTACCGGGTTTCCAGCTCAGTGCTCTACCAGCTGAGATTTGAATTGGGATGAGAAGTTCTGACTAGGCAGCCAACGATGGTAAAGTGTCAGGAACTTACGTGGTAGCGGGGCAAAACTCTTAGTGATTGAAGTGAGGGAAAAATCTAGTCAGCAGTCGGACTTCGTAGCTCAGTTAGTAAGGCAGCGGGCGGGAAACCCGGCGGTCGCTGGTTCGAATCCAGCAGCGGTCCAGATTTCCATTTCACCTTCAATCATCACCCATTATCAATACTAGTCTGCCAAACCACACACAGCTATCTCAGATAGTGATGTTGATGAAAATAGTACTATCAATTAACGCAATACAATGCTGAAAAAAGAACAGTCGGAAAGCAGTTCGTAAACTCTGTATTCGCAACGGTTATAGTTCCAGACAATACCAAACGTGAATATGGAAATATAGGTAGATATCACTTCTGTTTGACCCTAATGTTATCGATCGTACTTTCTTAACCTTTTTTCTTCTTTTCTTACGAACTTCCGCGACGCATAATTTCTTTGTTATCTTTTCTTCTATCTTTCGTCTTCCTGTGCTAATGTTTCTTGATATCCTGTTGTGATTTGAGGCAATGTGAACTGTTACGTAGTAATACGTAGTCTAATTATATTCGCTGACTAGTCGTGTCGTATTCAAGTTATACCTACTCTAACTCGAGGATTCCATCATCTAGGCTAATTACCTTCTTTTTGTGAATAAACCTTGAATTGAGTATTTTGATTCTGTCTATCTTCTTTTTATTGTGTTCTCTGGGCTGGGTTGTTTAGTTGTGGAGCTCCCATCGTCTTTCCACACGACATCTTCAACACTAACTTCAGTACGAAGTGAGGTGTCAATAATTCTCGGTGAGAGATTCAGTAGCTTGCGCCGAAGAACTGGTTTGTGACTGGTCGTTCTCTCTGATTGTTACGTTATTGACTGCATAGATTTTGCTGTTGGCTGTTCTTCTGCTTGACCTCTTACCTTTCTGTCGTCAACCACTTTTCTCATTGTTTGATAGATTAGGTCTATACATCTGTCTTTACATCTGTTGATTGCTGACTGACTGACTGACTGACGTGAATGCCAAGCTTGTAGGAATTCTCTGATATTCTTTGTGTTTCCTCTCTCCATTTGTAATTTCCACATTGTCAAAATTGAGTTCATGTTCATAGTTGTTATCCGCGTGGATTGAAATGAGTGATGAAATGTCGTGACGTTTAGTTGTCGATTGGTGTTGATGTAGACGAAGGCGAAGAGGTTGACCACTTTGTTGAATGTAGTGTTGACTCTAGTTATTGTAGTTGATTTTGCAAATGATGTTTTTTATTTGTTTTGTTTGGTAGTTGGATCCTTTGATCTGGATAATAGTGTTTGGAGGGGATTTGTTGTTTTATGAGCCACACTAATTCTGTGTTGTCTCTGTAATGTAGTCATGATTTGTGATATATTGTTTGTGTATGGTGGGGTCATACGATTGTTGATTTCTGTGGGTAGTTATGTAGTTGATGATGTGTGGGATAGGCATCTTGTGATGAAGTTTCATGAGTAGTCGTTCTTGTTTCGTATTTAGTAGTATATGTTTTGTCATTCAAATCCTATACAGCTGGATTTATCATACCGAGTAGTGCACAATCCTGCTGGTCGGGTTACCTTTTTTTGGAAGTATGACTGCATGGACAAGTGGTCAGCATGCACTCCGCCCCCCACACACATGCAGGTTCATTCTGACTCAATTTTCCTTAGATTACTCATATGTGTCATGCTATTCACCGTTCGCATTATACCGTATTCTATTGATAAGTTACTCTAAGCCTATCATCTCATTTACTCTGTGCTTCTTTCAACTGTTTATCTTCCCACTGGTATATTTTGTAATTGTAAAGTGCCATTAAGCATATTTTTGTCTTATTTACAATAATGATAGTTATAGTAGTTAGTTATTGGGTTCATTTTATGTGTTTTTTCTATTTAGTTGGATGGCAGGCACCAATTCGATTAACTCAAGAAGTTTGGATAGTAAGTGTCATTTATGTTTTCTGTTAGGTAGTGTGCTGGAATAAACTAAATTACTTATATCTGTGTGTGGAGGAGCATCGTTGACGTGATCATAATTACTGTTATTATTTTAATTTCTGTTAAAGTAGTTTTGCATATCTTTTAAAAATATAGTTTTCCACAATCACGGAAGAAACAGAACACATTGGTAGTCACCAGGTTAAGATGTGAAAATATCCACACCTTTTGGTTAGTAGTTGGTCTTGATTACCTTAGGTTAGATATTACTACTGAATAATTTGGATAGTTAGAAACCACTTAGACTGATCTGTAATATATCGTCAGCCAGATCAGAGTGATCTAAGCATCGGACGGCCGTTTTGCTCGTTTGGGGCCGGGTCCATCAGCAGTGTTGTGGGGAAAATTCAGCAAGTCAGCTAGCCAGATTCAGGTTATCTGAAGTAATTCAACCCTATAAAGCTGAATTTGTCCGGGTACACAACTTATTAGCTCGGTCCCAAACGAGTGAGGTGGCTGTCTGGTGTTCAGATTACTCTGATCTGGCTATCTTACAAAATACCACAAATCAGCGTGAATGGTTTCGAACTACCCAAATTTTTCAGTAGTAGTAGTATCAGAGGTCATACATTGTGATCTCGTCTTATTGGTTTTCAGCGGCAACACTTTTGACAACATAGCTGAGGGAATTGAAAAACCACTCAACTGTGAAAAATATCAACTTGGACTGTCCAGTTTGTAAATCATTTGAAAATTGGTCATCCTGCCTTATATGTTAAACCATCTTGCTCGGAAAACGCAGCATTAATAATGTCCATCTTCCATGGCTGTAAATATTCTCCGATTGTATCATATCAACCAGCGGTCAATGATGGGAATTTGTACATTGTAACATACCAAAAGGTGTTCACTTTGTAATCAATAGGAAATAATTTGAACAAACATTATTCAAACTCCGATATTTCAGTTCGATATTGTGTCATTTGAGCAATTGATTTTGACAATAGAATCTCACTAACTGATTGACAAAATCAACAAAGAACCTGGCACATAAGTGCATCAACTCAAGGTACAAGACTTCACAATAGTATACAAATAACCGGTGGATAGAACAAGAATGATATCAAAGTAGACAAAACAGTGTGGGATTATTAACACGATATGAAGATAACGACTGATGTAAATATTCAAGCTTTAGAAAAGGTCAAGGAGTGAGCTCATCCCTCCCCCCGCTTCCCCCCTGTGTGACCGAATTTCAGCCATGTCACCATAGTCCTCAACCATTGTTTCCTATCATCTGAGGCACCTCAACCAGGCAGTCTTCATCTCTCTCACAAGACTCAGACAAAATCTAGTGAGAATGTATATAGAAGTTTTTTGTAACAATGTGATTTCATTGTTCAAGTAGTGCGACAATAACCACTTCTAGTTAAATTACTTTCACCAATAGTTCTCTCCTATTAGTAATAATAATAATGATAATAATAATATGCATGGTTTTCTACCTAATCCATTTGGTGCTATCAGTCTCCGGATTCTTTTGAAATCTTGTCTCCCCACATTTATATAAAAATCTGCACTTTTTAAGACACTCAGCTGCTTGTCCATACTGTCTGGTATTACTACCCTAGTTACTCTTTTGTATATAGATGGTTAAAAGGTATTTTTTTTAATGAAGAACTATTTGTTAAGCTATAAACTATTGTTCCGTTAATTTGCGCTTTTCTGCTGAGTAAATTCATTGATTTTATAGCCTGAACTTGGAATACTGAGAAAAAAAACCTTGAGTTTTCTCAGTGTTTCTAGCTTTTTTGCTTTCGTCTATGACTGCTTTAGTTAAGTCGAACTGAGAAGTTATGACTTAACGCTGTATGATTGAGAATTTAGTCATAGTCGGATGCCCGAGACTTCTGTTGAACTTAATGTACGTCTTCCGCAAGTAGTGAAGTTTTGAATCCATTGTAAGTTAATATCCTGAATGCTAATCGTCAGTTTGTCTAATAATGCTACCGTCTCAGTTGCTAGAGACTATAGGCATTTCATTTCAAAGACATGCTTTTAGAGGTAATGCATACTCGAGAATAAATTTGACATCCACTCGGTGATCATGGGCACATTTGTACAGCAGGTAGTGAGGAGCCAGACTTATTGTGTAAAGGGTAATGATACTATCTGGTTTCCGAGGCCTCAGTAGGTTCACCTGGATTGGAATCAGTAACCTAAGTTGTCTAGGTCAGTAAGCCACGGCTTCATTGATGCCACTTATAATGGAACCATCCAGGATAAGTTTTTTTGCAGGGAAACAAATTCTGTGTAGATGAACTGACAGGTAGATAATCACTTTTTATTTTATTTGACATTTTCGTTTTCAATGCATGTCTTCATATTTTCTTTCCTCATTTTACTAATTTCTAGCGTTCTAGTAAATTATCTCATGATTTTGCTAATGAAGAACGTGAGCGTAAAAGGAAACTTGAAACTGAAAATAATAATAATAATAACAACAGAAATCACTCAAAAGTTAAAAAATCAAAGTAAGTTTGTTTGAGAAATGTATTACGTAATGTGCCTTTCACTGATTATTTTGCTTCTTCCGCATTTTTTTGGGGGTGGGGGGTTTAAAGGGATATAGACGTTTGTGCAAAAATGCTCCGAGCGAATCGTAGAAGTTGTTGATAAAGAAAGAGAGACTAGATATACTATGCGCGTGAAATGATCTCAGCAACCATGTACACATGCTTGCAACAAGCGGTGAATCACATATATGTGAGCGTTAATGAGATACAACATGGCTGCCCAAACCTTGATTGGTGGAGTAGTGTTCAAATTCGTGACCCCGCTAATTTACAGTCAGCTGCCTAAATCAATGAGTCACAACTCTACATAATGTTTACTAGAATCTGAGGATATTTTACACGCTTTTCATACTGATGAAGTGTAAATGTATTTTTCAAGAATATTCTTTCTCATATATTTGTTTCCTTTAATAAATCGAAATAATTCAAGAGTAACTAGTTTCACGGAACACAGTGATGTCATTTAATTTCCTGAGTATCTATCCATTAGCCGCATACATTCTACTGGTTATTAGGAGAAAATTATATGATCACTTACCTTAACTATAAGATATTGAATGATTAGCGCACAAAGTATTTATACTAGCTGACGATTGAAGGTGGGATGAAAATTTGAACCGCGGTTGGATTCGAACCAGTGATCACCGGGTTTACGACCCGATGTTCTACCAATTGAGCTACCATGCCCGACTCTTGACCAGATTTTATTTCATTTCAATCATCGGGGATTTTGCCTGACTACCATGTGAATTCGTGATGCGTTAGTATTGCTTGATCGTACTCACACTGGGTGCCTAGTTAGTACTTGTCATCCTAATCGAAATGTAACTGAATTAGTAAGGAGAGGGAGAAGGAGAAGGAGGAGGAGGAGGAGCATCATATTTATTATCACTTGACTATCTGAGATAGCTGTGTGTGGTTTAACAGACTATTATTTATACTGGATGATGATTGAAAGTGAAACTAAAACTTGGATCGCAGCTGGAAATGCAACTAGTATCGCTGCTGGTGTGTCTGTGTTGCAGTACTAAGTGGAGTGTGGAATTCTAGTTGATACACTCACAGTCAGGTCTGAAGCCTACCTGATTTCTTCCGGTTTGCTGTCGCCGCTCTCCATTCAGACGTTTAGTTGTTAAAGAAACTGGAATATGACGTACTATACTCTGCAAGGTGGTTCTCCCGTTGTTGCCATGAGAGCATTTACACTCTTTCCTTTTGACTGGGATAATCATTTATTGAAACTAGTCAGAGAAGTTCATATCTGTTTAATATACGCCAGGTAATACTTCTGCTAACCCACGAACTACATCCTTAAATACCCCTTGTACTTAGGCATTCGGACCTACTTCCGATCTTCGTTTCAGCCTTCTCAACTCCGACAAGAGTTGGGGATCCTATCTTGATTTTCCATTGAGGATCCAACTGTGTAGTTGGAAATAGAATAGTAACTGAGGGCCAGTTGATCTTCCCCTTGAAGTGTTCTGCCTGTCGTTCCACTATTCTTTTTTCGAAGTGAATCGGAGATCAGTGTTTTTCAAATTATGATTTAGCTAACCATTGATCTTTTCGCTTGATATGTCTAAATAGCTATTTTCTGCTACCTACCGTCATTTCCTTTTTTTTTTAACCTTTACTACCTACTACTACTACTAGTACTGACGATCATTTCATAGATTCCTTAACAATTCACATTTGATTTGCTTCCACTCCTCATTATGCTAGAAACTCACATGAATGCGTTCATGTGCATCCATTCATTCAGAGGAAGCTGCTGAGATCCACCGACCCTTTCTCATCACTTTCTGAGAGTTAGCTACACTTTTTAACAATATACTGGCAATTACACCTGGATTGTTTTTGATGGGTGATTTTGTCCGGTTCTAATAACTGTTTAGCGATTTCGTCGATGAAAGCAGTCTTCGTATTTGTATTGCTGAGCTGTGTTCACAATGGTTTTGTTACTCTGCTTCTTCTATGTCCATTTAGACACAGAGATACACGCGCTGTAATCAGCGTGTTCAAAATTGTTCTTCCATTGAAGCTGAAATCTTCTACCCACCCTGTCCACTTGTAATGGATAGATGTGTAGTCGATCTATGTTCATCACTGAGTTGAGGTCGGTGGATGCCACACTAGACATTATTTCTCTTTATACCTGAATTTCATACAGACCGTAACTATATGGTTGTCTGAGGACAGTTGTAACAGTTGATCGTGGTTATTTGTTCGTTTGGGTTGAGTTCCGTAAGAGTCATCTAAGTGCCTATCCTTTTGTGCATTAAAATCACCTACAACAAAAACCACTTCCGAGCGCTTGACTTTCAGTTGGAGGCTAGACAGTTTTCGGCGGAATTCATCCGTCACTTCATCCGAACTGCAACCAATCGGTGAGTAGGCTGGGATTACAAAGAGACAGCGACGAAGTTCACTGTTCCTCTTAGTCTTTACTGTGCTGTTCAGTGGAACAGCACATAGATCTCTGTTATCTGGGATCCATTTGAGTAGTGCAGTTCCTGCAATAGCACTTAATGCTCTACCTACACTTGCATGACCATGAGAATTCGGGAAATTCTCCATATTGACTGGGTGAGATTAAGGGAATAACCGCACTTGGGTCCTGTATGGGCATCTCGCAAAGTCAGCACTCATGACTTGAGATGCTATCATTTCAGCCAGCGAAGCTTGTTGGCTGAACTGAAATAGGGTTCGGACGTTCAAAGCTTGGATATATGCTTTGATGCACGACTTCAGGAGACTATAGATGCTATTCCATGAACTAAGATCGTTGTCGCGAACTGCAGAGCTGGAAGAAATTAAAGATAACGTAGGCATACTGACTAGGAGATGTAGGAAAAGGGTAGAATGTAAAGATGTAGAACTTTTATGATGCTCCGAGGGAAGTTGAGTGCTCACGAACTTTTGAGGACATTGGAAGGCTAGTTCTTCTTGAGGGATCCGAAAAAGAAATTGGGTTGGGGATCGTGATGCGCGACCGCATAGCCTAAAGGATGTCTGTTTGAAGTCGGTCAAACACGGCGGTTTCGGAGTTTTCAGGTTTAAGTTTTTTTTTCGAGTCTAATTATAAACCCATACTGTCTGCACTGGGAACCACAGGGCAGTGATGATTGGTTTACTTTAAAAACGAACCTTTTCTAGTCGTCCATTCCCATAGGGAAGACAGTATCGGCATGGTACTATTGGTCATCTGCCGGAATTATCTTACTCCTGCCATCCAGCCAGAAGTACAACTTCCCCCCTTTCCGGACCCCTCATAAAAGCGTAGCAATTTACACTATAATGGTAACCGCTTTCTGTCTTGCCTCTACCCAACTAAAATTTCTGGTATGCTAAGATCTCAAGGAACAAGCGTTCCGCCGGCATAGCTGTTGGGTCTTTGTGATATGCAATCCCAGTCGCCTCTTCAAGGTAGTGTAATCGCTGTACAAAAAAACGATTGCATCACAAATATCAACCTGAATACACCATTTTAAGTACTTTGCTATTTTCCTCTTTTTCTTATATAATCAGTGTGACCTGTCTACTATGCCTGCGACTTCTCTACTTGGTTCTTGAGTTGTATTTGTTGCAGATGGATATTCACTTGTCAGTAAGTCTTGTCAAAGACATGTTAACTTCCTTTGCGTAATGGAAGTTCCTAGACGTTTGTTAACTTTGAGATCTGATGAACCAAAATTTTGACCAATAAAAGCTAAAGTTAATTATCTAAATACCTGTTCGTGTATGAGAATGTAAGTTAGCTACTAAAATTACTACTAGACTGCTAGTAATAAACTACCTTTAGTGGATTTTATGAAAGTGAACCTCATTGTGGTAGAAGAGGCTCTGCAATGCATCTACTTACGAGTGTGCAATCATCATAGTAATACTAGGCAAACAGTTTTTGATACATTGTGTAACAGTAGTAGAGTTATGACGACAAAGACATCTCTTTCAGATAAGTGTTTTAATCCCATTATTTTTACACTATAGGGTTCACATCCCTTTCCTAAACAAAATTCTCATATTTATGTTTGAATGCTTCTGTTGATTATGCTGTAGTTAGTGTTTCACCTGGGTTAGGATTTGCCGTCTCTTTACTTTTTCAGAGATTTGATGTATTCACACCGTAATGATTTATTTGTATTCTCATTGTGACTTTGAACCAACATGTATTACTTTAGAATTTCCAAATATTTACTTATATACTAGATCGTATAAAAAGACAAGACGTGGTTGCAGCGAAGAGAAAAAATTCTCTTTTCCACGAAATCTTTACTAACCTATACATCCGTGAATACACCTTATAGTGGGCAAAAAGCTCCAGAGTTATTTCTGGTTAAGGGGCAAGATATATTGAATCACTGAAGGAAGTTAATCAATGCACGTTTGGGTTTGAAGTGGGAAAATAGACAAGGGATTATGAAATTAAATATAGTTATGCAATACAGAATGAGTGCATGGCAGCGTAAGAAAATAAACAGGGGATTATGAAAATAAAATTCTAATTGTGTAATGCAGGTTAAATCTATGACAGTAGAAAAATGAATAAGGTTTGAAGGAGATACATGTGTAGCTACCTGATACAAAGTGGATCTATAGCAGACAAGGCTTTATGATGAACATGGCCACATCCAACCTTTATCTTTGCAATCACAATTAAATTCGACGTTCCATTTTCTTGATGTTCAATTCCAAAGAAAAGACGATAATTCACTTCATTGATCGATCTGGAGAAAGCCTACATGGGACCGAAAATTTGTTACTTTTCAAAGTCCAGTCGTTCTATGTAGGAAAAGAAATCTTATTCATTCTTTTTCCTCGAGGATGAGGAAAATATGTAGTGGGGACACTGTTGACGGAGAACTGCAAATACTTTGACGAACTGTAGCGGTAAAGGGTTCCCCGCTTAGATTCATAGAAAAGAAGATAAACTCAAATAGTCGGAGTGAATGAACACATTTGGCGCCGAAAAAGCTTGTTTTGTTGAGTGTTGAATTCGAAAATGATATTGCTACAGAGATCGTCAAGAAACGACTATGAGGATCCTTAAATAGAACATACTTCACCACCAAGCTTCGAATTATTTAGTCGTGCAAGAAAGTTTTTGGTCAATGTGTGAGGGACCAGCCGACTCATTGGACCACATCAATGTATGTATGTATACCAGTTTATTTTGTCTTGTGTAGCTGAGTGCATCGGCCGTACCATGTGTCCACTTGTAAAACGAGCCCACGAACACTACCCAGCCCGACTGGCAAAAGGAGAACGGAAGTGTATCTTCATTTCAAAAACAGAACACCTGGTGAACGTAGACGACTTGACTCCTTTTGAGGAGTCATTCAAAATTCTCTACATGTTTCTATGGAACCAGTGGAAGGGAGTAAGAGATGAAGGCATTTGTTTACAGCTGAAGGACTAGCCAACCAGGAGTTCAAATTAGTGTTATGGGTCCGAATAGGTATGTCCAACCTTTATTTTTTGCATAGGCATCATGAAGCCTTGACTGTCATAGATTCATACTGTATTACGCAATTGTACATTTATTTCCATGATCAGTTGTTTATTTTCCTACTCTATCATAGCTTTATCTGGTATTACATAGTAGGAATTTTATTTTCATAATCCCTTTTCTATTTTCGTACTCTTAACCCAAATGTGTATTAATTAATTTCGTTTAGTTATTCAATGTATTTTGCCCTTTAACCGGAAATATTTCTTGATTGTTCTTCCCACTGTAACATATATTGATGAATGTACAGGTTAGTAAATGACTTGGTCAAAAAGCAAAAAGTTTCTTCGCTGAAACCATGTCTTGTCTTTTCCTATTATATACTAGACCTATACATCAACTGAATCTTTTTATTTCAGTCAGGAATTCAAGACTAGAGGCAGTAGAGTTCTTCTTAAATCTTACAGTTTTTTTCACAGGATATAGTTGTCACAAGACGTTCCGTTAGTCTAGTGAATAACATTTTTGTGTTCTCATAACATCATTTAGGAAAGCAAGAACCACTGGACATTTTACTTCCTCTTTGAACTTCTTGTTAGTACACACATAGGTCGTGTATGACATCCAATCAATAGATTCCAATCCAACGGTACATGTTTTTCATCCACTTTCTGTTCAACTTTATCGCAACGATCATCCATCTCGGTCATTTGTTCTGATCTAGTCCTTTTTAACACGACTGTAACTAGTGAAATCATCTTACGTTAAGTGCATTATCATCCAATTTTTCCTACTTTTATGTTCTTGTTTTAAAATTATTTTAGATGTTTATTAGCCTCACTAACAGATGAAGACATCAAAATTGCAATGTCATGTCGACCACGTTATGAAACTCTTCTATTGGAGGCTGAACAAAAGCGTGAATTACAGGCTACCATGAAAGCTGTAGCTGTTGCAACAGAGGCTGCCTCCAATAGTGATCCTCAAAATATATCAGAAAGTGAATCGAATCCTCTGCTTTCAAATTCTACGCCTTCAGTGCCAATTGCTACTAACAGTAATAATCATTTAACTCCAAACATGTCAGTCGATACAGTTGATGATGACGATGATAATGGTGACTCAGGAGTGACTCCCTTTTCATCAATTAGTCATCAATCTAAGATTAGCATCGATGATAATGATGAAGTAGGTCGTCAGTCATGTACTATTAATTCTATTCCTGTAACTGTTACTATTGTTGGAAGTAATGATCCACAAGATGTTGTTTGTGAACAAGATACATTGACAATAAAAATGGATTGTGATCATCCTATCCACTCTGATGCTACAAATCCATCAAATACTGACATGGGTACAACTCCTTGTGTTGAAACACAACCAAGTGGATCTGATTATCATAAAAATGAAGAAAAGGAAGAACAACCTCAAGTAACTGATAACCCAGTCGATCAAACCAGCTCTGATCAACATCATGACATACAACAGCAGCAAGCCAGTGGAACAGACCATTCTGAAACAGATTTGTTAGATCAGACTGTACAGAAGAAGTGTGCCTCACCAATTTCTGGAAATGTACAGAATATGGAAATTAGTGGTGATGATAGTTATCCGGCTGTTATTGTTACTCATGTTGATAGTAATCGTGATGAGATTCAAGGCAAACAGGATGCAGTGATAAAATCAGAATCAAGTCCAAACCATGTTCAAGGGGTAAGTCAAGTACATTAACGATATGAAACAGACTTATTTTTATATTCTATCTGGATGTTTGTGGAGGTTTATCAATTGATTTTACGTTGGGATTCATCGTAGATTGATATCAGTTAGAGGAACATTGGAAACCTGGGAGCACTGGACAACTATTTGATGATTGGGCTTGCGTATTACACTGACCCAGCAAGCTTTGTTGTCTGGAGATATGGTTCCTACTATGCTAGATAATGTTGAATAATGGTAAGACTGTAAGCAGTTACCTTCATAGCATACATAGTTTACGTCATGGCGATGTTCTAATGGTAAAGTTGTACTGCTGGTTGTTTGGGGGGTATTTCAGCAATAGTGTTTCTCGCTGGTGACCGTTAGTTCAAATTGATATCGCTTTTCTTTATAGAGAGATAGAAAAAGTGGAGCCTAATAAGTAGCATATTCTTCCCCGGTGTTTAATCTTCCGACATCTGCAGTATAAACTTTTATAGCCTAGAAGTAACACTATCAGACCTAAATCTCAGATTGTCAAGAAGTCTGGGTGTGACCGCCGTTAAGCGGATTGACTTTGAGCTATGTAGTGATAGATTATTATTACTAATTCATTTTCTCTTTCAGGTTCTTCGCGAAGAAAGTAACTAAACATGGTGTAAAGAGTCGAGGAATGTCAACTACTCTCATACCTCTATTAGCACTGAAGTTGCTTCTGACCCGTATCTAACTGATATCATGAATACCTACTTCAGGTTTAGTTAACACATCCTGGGATTAAAGTTGTGCAATAGTTTACTCTGCAAGAGTTTGAGTGGTTATTACATAAAATGATCATAGGTGAGGATTTAGAACGGGAAGTCAGTCTTGGGGAGGGGAGGAAGGTTGACAAAACAAGATACTACTACTGAACAACTTGAGTGTTTAGAAACTACTCAGGCTGATTTGTAGTGTTTTTCCAGCTGGATCAGAGTGATATGAACACTAGACAGCCGTTTCGCTCGTATGAGGCCGGACGTATCAGTGGTGTGCCCGAACAAAGTGAGCTCATAGAGCCGAATTATTTCAGATCTGATAACAGGTCGTAAATAGTAAATGAAAATGAAAATTATCAATCAAAAAATCAAACAATAAAATGCACGGAAAAACTTTCTAGACTGATAAACGTTTTGATTACTACGTCATTTTCTTAAGTTATTCTGGGATTGACATTGGATTTGATTTAAGGTCAAGGAAGTAATAGGGAATTGGACAACTTTTTTTTCCATCTCTTTTCATTGTCTTGGTATCAATCCCTTCGATTGTTTACAACTAACAATTTTTCATCACTTGTCGTTTATTGTTAATCTTCACACATGTTAATAAAAAGGTGAGTTACACAACCACTTTATAAACGGCCACTTTTTCACGGGGACCTCTCTTTGTGCTAACCATACGAGCATATGTTCTTTAACATTACTGCAACAGGGGCTTAATATTTTGTCTAACATAACTAACCTTAGTGGTATTGTAGAATTTACCAATGCATAATATTTTATATATGTGATACCTTTGAACGATGATGATAAGATGCCTAGAGTATGAGAACTCTTCTCAGAATGGTCGTTTAAAAAGTTCCGCCCACCTACCAAGGTTTGGCCAGCTAGGTGGTATCACTAGCCTTCACACAATAGGTGTGGCTCATTACCTACTGCATGAATGTGCACAAGGTTGTTGAATATGTAAATTGTAGGATAATTAGCAGATGAAGATATGCCTCGATGGCTTAGTCACTGAGGTTTCAAACAATGGATCCTATTTCACTTATCTTGGTATAGGCAATGAGGTAGTATTATTATGTGCGACATGCAGTCTAGTATATAAATCTGTTCCAAATGGAGTTGCGTTGATATAAACTTACTTACTTTACTTAAAGATCTTGCTGAGTAGATTGATAAAATTAAATCCAAATTTCACTACTTAACCAATAAAATAGATTAGTGGATCGTATATTGCAGAGTAGTCATGTCCTTATTGTCAAATATCTTTTGATATAACTCCTCATCGGTGTTGGCGAAGATATACTCGCATTCTGTCTTCGTCCTAATGAGCACATTGAATTTCACCATTGTTTTACTTCTCCCTTCCGTTCTTATCATTTTTTACTACTGCTGCTTACTTGCTTCCTTATTCCTCGATCTTTCATCTTGATATTTTCTACCTAGGTGTTAGGTAAACAAGATCAGCATCAACTCAAGTTATCACATTTCACAGTAGTGTACAAAGACCAGATGGATAGAAAAGACATGTCAAAGCAGACGAAATTGTATCAGAGAATAAACAATTTAAAGATGAGAGTTGGTGTAAATATTCAATTCTGGTAGAACGTCAAAAGGTGTATACATCTGCACCGTTTTGGCCGATTTTCAGCCATGTCACCAAGATTCCTCAACCACTGATTTTTTTCATCTTGATGACCGCAATCGGACAGTCTACACCTCCCTATGGGATCAGAGACTTCATCGCCTAGTACCACATGCTGGTCTGGCCATCCTGAACCTTCTTCCAACCCGTCTCAACTTCTAGCATGGCGCGTCAAGGTAGGCGGTGACTGCGCATGCGCAATACGTTTCCAAGCCACCTAAGGTTCATAACCTTATCAGTCGACTTGTCCGTCTTGCCTAGTACCCTTTGCCTGACCCTAACACTACTCACACGGTGATTCCACCAAATGCGAGCAATACTACGAAGATATTTGTGACCAAAAACCTGCAACTGCTTCATATCTTCTGCTTTTAACGTCTCTGTTTCACAGCAGGACAGAACGAACTTCAATTCAGTAAATGATAATATTAGTTGTTGCAACCTGACCACTAGGCAGAAATGCCACAATGCACGATGATATTCACTAACTAGAAGGTTGGAGATATCTTTTAGTGATGTGGAAAAGATGCATATATTGATCGATACAAGTAGACTAACTTCATTTCTTGGGAGATAATATGGTAATTTCTATTTGAAAACGTTTTCTTGCGAATCAGTATGTTCAGTTGACTACTACTGCATATTCCTTACTGTAAACACATGTTTAAAGACTGTTTATATTGTTTTTCGATCAGTGGGTCATAAAGTCAAACCCCATTTCATTTACTAAAATATGGGCTGTCAGGTATTGTTGTAGTGAGCGTTGTGATCAGAATGGATATAAGTAGTATATGTTGAGAGGGCGGCAAAAATCACAAGGAATTACGAGCAATGGGTAAAGATTCTGACCAGAGAAACGCAAAAGACAATGCAGGCGTATTAAGAGCAAATCAAGATAGAATTAGGAGAGGAAATGAAGCACATTATAGAAATGACTGTCTTAGTGGAAGGTGTACAATATTTGATGATTGCTATAAAATGAGATGTCATTAATAAACATTCCTTCTTTTGTCTCTGTCTTGTCGTTTTCTAAACTATCACTGGCTCTCATACATTAGGTGTATTTCATTACTTACTGCATAGATATGTACGTCGTTGCTAAGTTGCACTCTAGTTCATTATATCATTATTATAATATCATTTTGTTTTTTTTCTGAAATTACTTGTGATTTAAACTCATTTCTTTTATATATTTCATACTTTTCAGGTATCAAATGATAGCGATAATCATGATGATATTAGAAATACTAAGGAAATTACTGGATGTGATGATGTAAATAGTAATGATACTAAGAGTAATGTTGATAGTATCAATACAACAACTAGTGTAACTATTGATGGTATAATGCTATCAGCATCATCATCAACCATATCTACATCTAACAATATATCCAATACCTTTGAAGTTTCCAAGGTATCTACAACAGAAACGAATACAATGCATATTCAGAAAATCTCTCTGGAGAATGATTCATTTACTCAGTTAAAAGATTCAGTCAACAGTACTGTTATTTGTACTTCTACTACTATCTCTTCTGTTAATGACACCAATCAAATAGTTATTTCAGATGACAGTAATATGCAATCTAGCAATATAAATGACGCAGCAATAATTGAGGTCACCTCACTGTTAACCATAACAACAACAACAACAACAGCAGCAGTTGATAAATCAAACATTCATTCAGATCAGTTATCTGAAGATACTATTCGTAAACGTTTAGCTACTAGTCCTATAGACGGTGTTATGGATTGTAAACGACGAGCAGTGGAAGTAGATTCATCAGACTCTATTCCAGCGACTAATATTGATGTTTCTCCTACTAATTCTACTTCTCCTCATAAAGAAAGCAAAGTTATCATCAGTGAATCATCTACATCTGATTCAAAACATCACATTAAAGATGATGAAGATGGTAGTTTAATTCGTGTAAATAAAATTGAAGAAGGTGAAACAATTACTAATGAGCCACTCAGTCATATGGATGAAGATATCATTGATAATGTAAACGTTGAGGAGTCATCACTGACAGTTGATAGTTCTAGTGTTGCTTATTGTAGTACAGATTCAAAGATTATGCCTGCCAACAATGAATCGACTGGATTACCGCAGCCACAACCACCACCACCGCCACCAATCTGTACAGATATTAGGATCACATACACAGCGATTGACCTTGAATCAAGACTAGCATTGACAGAGTTATGTTTACAGTTGCCTGATTGTAAGATTGTTGATTCAGCTGAGGAGGCTACACACTTGGTTTCTAATCGATTAATTCGTACACCGAAAACATATATGGCAGTTGCATTAGGCTGTTATGTGGTAACACCGAAATGGATTCAAGCTTCTGTGGTGTGTGGTTATTGGTTAGGTAAGAATTTTTATTGATATTGTTATTAAATACGTATAATATCTTCTTTATATTCTTTGGGCGTTGATAATAAGTAGGAGAGTCTACAGTTCTCATTTCATTCTGTGTCGGCCTTAGCATTTACATAGCCTGTATCCTAGGGAGTGTTAAGATATTTAGAGGTATCACTGTTTCAAACGCTACAGTTTCTTTGAACAGACCGTAATCGTATCATCTTAAGAGGACACTTGATGTCCTCTCGTTCAGCCTATTCATTAATTTCTTATAGTACGTACTATCTGTTAGAGTTTACATTTCCTTACAATTCAACTTCATTCAGTTGTGGTTAGTAGTAACTAGAAAGCGCTACCTTAAATATTTTTTTTATTGAGAAGAATCATCTTACTATAAACAATAGGATGATAGTGATAAGTAGAAAAAGACCAAATGAATTCGAGGTAGTAGGATATTTAAACTTTCGACCTTGATTACACGCATCAGTGCATCGATGCGATCAATTTTGAACTCATAGTCCATCAGCTACTTAGTAAGCATCAATTTTGTTACAGTTTAGACTGACAACCCGTGACTGTTCGTATGTGACTGCTTACTGGTAGTTTTCATCATATTGAGTCCTATTACAGTATACATCTGACGTTGGGAAATGCAGCGTAAACATATAAAATCAACATAGAAGTTTATTATGTATCGCTTCAAACGCGAGAGCGTTATCCACTACACCACCGAGCCATGATAGCCACCTCTTGTGTGACGGGTATAGGTTTACTGTTATTGTTTGTATTACACCGTCGTTGATTGGACTGAATTGATCAGTCTCTGTTGACATATGGGCTCCTGTGCGGATGCCTCGACATTGCCTATCTTTTAAATATGTTATAGTAATGATGGGCAGAAGTGGTTATCGTGGCTCGGTGGTGTAGTGGATGACGCCCTCGCGTTTGAAGCGGTCGCTCCCGAGTCCGAGTCCCGGTGGGAACAACATCACTCAGGTACATCCAGCTGACGAGTCCCAAATACGACGAAATGCGCATCCTGGATTCCACTGCTGGCCCACTACCCATCATTACTATACATAGTTAAAAAACAGGCAATGTCGAGGCATCCGCACAGGAGCCCATATGCCAACAGAGACTGGTAAATTCAGTCCAATCAACGACGGTGTAATACAAGCAATAACACTAAATAGAAGTTTAGAATTGGTACACTTCAAAACACTGTACGAAGAATAAGAAAAAGTATTGTATCAGTGAAGATAAAAATATATGAGAGGAGAAGAACTTCAAAAAATGGAGGCTATTGAAGATATTCAAGCTGTCAAAGACATCAAAGAGTGAATATATTTGTGTCCTTGTTACCGAGGGTTTCCAACTATTGATTCCTAATATCTTTAGAACCAAAGTTAGCAGTTTAAACATCCCCATACTTCTCAAACTAACAGTCAGAGACTTCTTCTGATCCAGTTCTATTTTAGCTAACATGTCCAAGTCACCTGAGTCACTGAAGGTTCACAACTTCAGCGGCCGACATGCCTGTTTTTTCTAGTACTCTGCGCCTGATCTTAACATTACTCAGACGATGATTCCACCCGTTCATCAAAGTATTTATTTAAAGATCCCCATTAATTAGTCAGAGCAAGGGTATAATTTGAGCGAACAATTGTTTTCATTAACTTTCTGTTCAAGCTCCTTAGTTATAAATATAATGTACTATTTCACTGTGTGAGATACATATGATACGTATAATTATAATAATGGAATTATAGTCTAACACAATGCTCAAATACCAGTTATATTAGGATTAAAGTACTTATATATAGATGGAATGCAAGATTCTTCAAAGTAGTTGTCATCACGAACTGACATTACTTGAAGAACTGTTGGAAACCTAGAAGCACTGGGTAGCTATTTCGTTGTAGTACATAATTCTCAAGCTTTGTACACCCAGGATCCTGTAAGGGACTGAACATAGAACCCGTCAGGTCTCATGTCGAAAATGATACCGCTTGGTTTGAATCTAATTTACCATTATTTCTTTCCTATGATGATTCATAATATCGCATAACTGTCATCTAACGTCATCTTTAAGTGTCCTCACAACAGACTTGGTTGACAGCGGAGGTCATGTTGTTGCTTAAGAGTTTTGAGAAAACCATCGACAAGCAAATCGCGAAGGTTCTTATTAATTAGCTATAGAATTTTATCCTGACTTATTTCTTAGCATAATGCTGAGTGTTTTGGAATTTTACTAATAAGTCATGTGATGGTGATTCTGTACCTAAACCCTCATTTTGTAACCAGTTGCATCGTGGGTTCACGTTGGTATCCATTCATTTCAATGTGAACAGTCATACGTATTAGTTGTATTGTGTTCTCTGAGCTGGGTTGTTTAGTTGTGGAGCTCCCATCGTCTTTCTACACGACATCTTCAACACTAACTTCAGTACGAAGTGAGGTGTCAATAATTCTCGGTGAGAGATTCAGTAGCTTGCCCTGACGAACTGGTTTGTGATTGGTTGTTTCCTTTGGTTGTTACGTTATTGACTGCATAGATTTGCTGTTGGCTGTTCTTCTGCTTGACCTCTTACCTTTCTGTCGTCAACCACTTTTCTCATTGTTTGATAGATTAGGTCTATACATCTGTCTTTACATCTGTTGATTGCTGACCGACTGACTGACGTGAATGCCAAGCTTGTAGGAATTCTCTGATATTCTTTGTGTTTCCTCTCTCCATTTGAAATTTCCACATTGTTAAAATTGAGTTCATGTTCATAGTTGTTATCCGCGTGGATTGAAATGAGTGATGAAATGTCGTGACGTTTAGTTGTCGATTGGTGTTGATGTAGACGAAGGCGAAGAGGTTGACCACTTTGTTGAGTGTAGTGTTGACTTTAGTTATTGTAGTTGATTTTGCAAATGATGTTTTTTATTTGTCTTGTTTGGTAGTTGGATCCTTTGATCTGGATAATAGTGTTTGGAGGGGATTTGTTGTTTCATGAGCCACACTAATTCTTTGTTGTCTCTGTAATGTAGTCATGATTTGTGATATATTGTTTGTGTATGGTGGGGTCATACGATTGTTGATTTCTGTGGGTAGTTATGTAGTTGATGATGTGTGGGATAGGCATCTTGTGATGAAGTTTCATGAGTAGCTGTTCTTCTTTAGGATGGACACTGAGCAATTTTCTTCGTTTCTTCGTTAGGTTGTTGTACTGAGGTGTGTTCACGCTCTTTTGAATAGAGTCTACATGCAACTGATTTCGTGCATTGTTTTGTTGTTGCTACTTTAGTTGAAGATCAGTGTGTGTTGGCTTTGTGTACACTGCCAGTCTCTTCCATCACTGCTTCTGCAAATATTTTCCGCCATTTCACAGTCATATGTAGTCATCACTCCTCGTATACAGTAGATGCTTTGGTAAAGTGTAATGTAGAATTCTCGTTTATTTTAGATAATCGATTTATGACTGGTTCGGATTTTTATACCTTAGATATGATCCATATCTCTAGAATAAGTATATATGTATATATATGGTCATATTTTTCCTACTATGTAAACGTTTAAAAATGTTATGAATATTTCAAGTAAGAGTTTTTTGTGTCTACTGATAACTGAACTTGATATCGTAACTCTTAGATTGCTAGAACAATTAACGCATGTTTTTTTCTTGTTTTTTCTTTCTCTTCTGTTATCTCAGATGAAACACCTTGGATACTATCGGATCCAGATTCTGAAGCTCAATTAGGCATTGATTTAAAAAAGTCAATTAGCATAGCACGTAAACGTCAAATGATTGGACCAGAGGCTGGATTATTTGCTGGTTTAGAATTTTGGTTTTCTCCAGGTGCATGTCATCGTGAAATGTGTATAGCATTGATTAAAGCTGGTCATGGTATAGTTCGTCAGAGAAGACCAACCCAGAAGATGGCGTTACTAGCACAACCGAAACAGCTAATTATATGCCATGAAGATGATAGTCATGTTGCTAATTATTTGATGCGTACTAAAACAGGCAATAAAGGTGAGATTTATCTAATCCACTTGATTTTTTATGTGCTTAATATCGGGGGCAAACATATCACACTGTTGCTATATTATGTTTCAACCGTGAGGTGGAACTCAACTGTTAGATTTTCTAGCTTAGCTGACTACATACACACCGATGGAGCATTCGTCATCATACGTTTTTCAAGGCAAACAAAGACTTCTCTGGAGAGATTTAACTCAATGTCTGAAACTAATTGAGACTTTATTTGACTGTGGAAAGTTGCGGTTGGTAATAGTGTAATTCTGAGTTTTTTTCCCTTCTAATGACACGTTATAGTATACGATATTAACTTCAAAAATCGACATTGATTTCACGAAGGAATTTTCATACTCAGCTATAATCACGAATGAAAATTAAATTTTATGCCTAACGTTGAAGAAATTATTTATGATCTCACAGATTTGTTTAACAATCCTAGTTTTCTTTCCAAGAAACTATCCAGAGATATCTATAGAAAACAGAGTTTTGTTTCATTTGTGTAGTTTTCAGTTACTGTTTCTCTAATACTGATAGCTAAGTGGTAAAGTAGAACTTGAGTCGTAGATTGTTCAAATCTTCACTGTTCACATCGACATTTTCATCAACACTATACTGTGTTGCTATTCCGCTGTCCTAAGTAGACTATCTGACTCTTTTCACTAGGTTGTTCTACAGTAGTATTCGGTGTCTGGATCCACATAGAAGAACCTTCATAGTTCCGTCTATTCGTCCGTGTGTGATTATGGTATCATCTTAAAACTCCACAATTGGTTTTGTCTGCAGCTGATTATCTACCACTGTAGTAAAAGGGGTTGATTAGTCTGTGGTACTCAAAGTTCATAGTCTTTTATCTTCGAATTTGAGTTTGGAAGGTCTGGTATTTATGAACCGTCTGCATTTAATTAAAGCTACTGAAAGTCTTCGTTTCGTTTATAATAAATAATGATACAAGTAACTAAGTCATGTAACATTTTCGATTTTCGCTGTACTTGTCAATACCTACACCGAAATTCTCATGGGGTTGTATTGGCACCACTAGGGTAATTTTACTAGCTTTATTGCGTAAGTTATGAATGAAATTTTGACGCATATGTGTATCTATCAGGTAATCTATATTCATTCCACTCCTACTTTCATTTCTCTTATTGGCTTTTGAATAGAAAACTTCGCAAAGCTGAAGTTTTCAGTATGTTACAATAACTGATTCTAGATCTGCATACTGTATGTGTAACGTACAGATGGGGGTGACTAACTGAATGAATTTTTGTCGAAGTCCAGTATTTGTTGAAATGAGAAGGAACCTAGAAGTGATTAGAAGTACATCAGAAGAGCTAAGAATTGATAACAAACTTACGTATAAGAAACCATCAGCTGGCAAGTTTGTTACTTAAAAGAAATAACAATCACTGTGAATAAAGGAGACGAATGACTTGTTACAAAAGAATGCACGTAGATGTAACCAGACTCATTTACTACTCATATACTCTGATAGTTAGTTCTTTCTGTCTGTTGTTTATTTTATACTTCTAGTATCGTTTTCTCTTCTTTAACTAGAAGTCGTCTTGATATTTTTAGAGCTTGTGCTATCCTTTGTATATCTTCCAAAATTGTAAGTTCGGGGCAGGTAGGTTGTGAACTTTGAGTCGATAGTCAAAGACTCTAAACTATCAAATTTCCTCCAAATTTTGATCATCTTATCATTCTGAATCTTTTATTTCATACACGCCTATTTTATTAGTCCACCAGTTACTAGCCGGTCCTACGCCCTTATAGAGAGAGAAGGTTGGACATACAGCTAGCAACCCTATCCCGTAAAACCAATCTAACCTCTAAAGAAACTTCAAAACACAAAGAAAATATAGAAAATCAAAACAAAATTATTACTCGCTGGATTCGGAGAGACGAAATGATGCCGGATGGTGAAAGTCTTCGGGAAGCCAATCGGCTGATGTGTCTTCTCTTCTCTCGATGAAAGCGAAAGTGAGAGTGGGCACATGGAATGTGTCTGCACAGGCTGGAGCTGGCTGGCAAGACTTCCCACATTCCAAAAGAAGTGAGAAGATATAGCATTGAAGTGCTAGGAATCTGTGAGGAGTCTGCAGATGAAATGGAAGTGGACTCTCCAAACTGTCAACTGGAGAGGAGGGTCAATAACCTACTTCGATATTGTCACCCAGACGACAACCATGAGCACACTGAATTTTCAAGTGGCTATCATGATGTCCCCAACAGCACCGAAGACTGTCTCTCATGCAATGGGAACCAATCTCCTCCACGATCAGGATCATGACAGCAAGATGGATTCAACTCAAAAGGAAGGAAGGTCACAATCATACTATGCTACACTATGCACCTAAAAAATAATGCAGATCAAGAAAAGAAGGAGGAGGGATTCTATAGACAATTGGAATCAGTAATGGACAAGACCACACCCTAGATGGCGACATCGAAATTCTAATGGGTGGGATGACGTGAATGCCAAACTGTGAGGAGCAAACAACGCAAGAAGAGAACTCATCGTGGGTCAAGAAGCACTCGGTGAAATGATGAATGAGAATGGAGAAGTGTTTGCAGACTTCTGCCCATTCAACGACTTGGTGACAGGAGGCTAGGCAGAGTGTACAAACACAAGGATATTCACAAGGTAGCGACATGGATTTGATTTCACTAGACACCAGGACACTACACTGAAAATCAATCGACTTCATGTCAATGTGAAGAAGTGGAGATGCAGCCTGCTGGACACAAGATCGGATCAAGAAGGGGAGCGGATGTAGGTTGACACCACTCACTGTCTAGTGCGAGGAACCTACCTTCATAATCTAGTTGAAAGACTTCAAAGAAGTTGGTGATAGACGACCACAGTTGAAGTTGAACACCCGGAACAGAAACTGATCTGAGGGACGAAACTACAAAGGACGTCTACACGTGGTCAGCCATCAGGACAAAATGGGAGATATTGAATGAGCAGCATCCGTGAAGAAACCTGTGTGGAAGAACACTGGAACTCTGTGAAACATATGTGGAAGGGAACCTGCATAACCGTGTTGGGTAGGAAGAAGAAGAGGCAAGACAAGACAAGGAATGGATCTTGAAGGACAAATGGAAGCTGATAAGGAGGGAGAGGAAGATGGTGATGGTGAATTAGAAGATGAGCCAGTGCAGTGCAGTGCGGTACAGGGATGAAGAACGAAAAGAGGAACTGAACACAACCTATAAACCACTACCCTGAACAAAGAAGTGAAGAAGGTGCATGCAGAGACAAAAGACACTTCAACAACACAATTGTAATTGAAGTAGAACAGGCTGCTGGTAGGAGAGACAGAAACCTGACAACACTATATCAAATAACCAGGTTACTTACTATCTGGGAGGGCAGAAATCAACGCCGATGAAACCAATGAGAGAGTGAAGGAAACCTAGTTACCAATAAGGAGAAATTAAGGAAACGATGAGCTGACCGCTTCAAAAAACTCTTGAGTCGAAACCACCACCTGCAACTTGTCCATAAATACCGCCAGCCGCCAGCCATATAATTATCTGCAAACGCAGACACTCCGACAAAATTAGAAGTGAAGTCCTGCACGCCATAAAGTTGTTGAGATCCGTAAAAGCAGCACGATTAGATGGAATTCCTCGAGCAGCACTAAAAAACAGATGCAGAGACATCAGCAGACATACTCACACCATTACTGCAGGAGGTTTGGAAGGAAGGGAAGGTACCTGCTGATTGATTGAAAGAAGGCCTACTTTTCAAACTCTCAAAGAAGGGAGACCTAGTGTTTGCAACAACTAGCAAGAAATCATGCTCCTGTCCACCCAGAGCAAGCAAAATATTAAGCCCCGTCATCCTCTAGAGACAAAAATCCTCTGGATTCAAAGTTACGACCGAAACAGGCTGGATTCAGGAACAATAAATCATGTGCGAATCAAATTGCAACGCCATGCTACAAGGCATCATCATAAAACATAGCATAGAATCGCAGTCAACTCTTCACCTTAACTCAACTTCATCCACTTGAAAAGCATTCGACAGAGCCGATCGAGAAGTAATTTGGCAGATAGCTGCTTCAACACTACACTCTTAGTGCCACAATCCTTTATCAACCTCATTCAACAACTATATGACGACGCGACATAACAACTGATTCAAAATGGAAAGCTCAGTGACGCCTTCGAAGTGAAGCGAAATGAAGACAGGAGTAAGAAAAGGCTGCCCCCCACTATCAACGATCATCTTCCTCATTGTCGTCAACTACACACGACTGCATCATGCAACAGACAACTGTGATCAGCGAGAAGATGGACATACGCTGGCTGCACCGATGAAAAGACCCCTGAAGAAGATTCCCATTTCGACAACGATGATCATTTATGTCTAATGTCTTCTCACACAAACTCGAAGATACATAGGTGAAAACCAGCAAATTGGTAGAAGAGGCGAGGCACCACAACGAAGGAAGATAGGACTTCCTTCACGTGAACGTATAGAAGACAGACGTGATGCAGGTGCTCAACCAACAACAACAACAACAACAACAAGTAGCAAGAATCACCATCAACGGGAGACACCTAAATGAAGCCTAAGCAAAGTATTCTTTTTCACCTACCCACCCATATAGCAAACATTCTCACAACTACAGGTGGCGGTGACAAAGATGGAAATGTCAATACCAGGATCAGAAAGACAACCAACACAGGCTTTCCTTCATTAATCTGAAATCAGTGTGGAGACCTACTCCACTCCACTCAACTCAACTCAACTCAGCATAAAGCATGAACAACATCCCGATGCTCAACATCAACGTCAAGTCACTGCTTCTATGTCATGGTTCACAGACTCCGCAGCGCCTCACCAAAACCATTCACAACAAACAAACAACACACATACATCATCATCATCAACACCTGCCGCCACCTACACTCACTCCATACTGACAATGAAGATCACATCACATGGCCAGAATAATAAGAATAAGCAACAACAAACTCTGGATGGCAGGCTGCCCAGCTGGCCGGCCGGCCAGCCGGCATGCATGCATGCATGCATGCAACGAACCAACCAAGAACCCATCATCCAACAAATATCCACAACAAAGTGCACATGGATTGGATTGTATTGAACATACACTGAGAAGACCATTTGGGGACATCACGTGTCAGGTCAGGCTACGCCACACCACGCCACTCCACGCTACGCCACATCACGCCGAGCATTCGAGTGGAACCGAAATAGGAAACGACAAGCTGAGCGTCCGAACCGATGGTGACATGGAGGAGATCGTATCAGGAAGAAACGGATGATTGTGGGCAGTCATGGGGTCAGGTTCAGAAGACTGCAGAGAAGAGAGTGAAATAGAGATGTGCTACCGAAGCCCTATATTCCACTAGCAACCCGGCAGATAAATCATAATGATACAAAGAAAAAGACAAATATACTAGGTTTGAGATCACTCGTTCTCATTGTACTATTCAGAAACATAGCTTCTAGAGGTAAACGTATGAAGAGGTCATTCAATAATATATATGTTCAAGCCGTTTGTCTAGTGTTGTAGAACTAATTGGTCTAGTGGCTTCACGCATAATGATATCATTCAATATCTGTTGTCATCTCTGAGATTGTCTAGGGTTGAATTAACCTGCTAGAAGTTTTGTCTCATCAAACCAAAACATAGTATAAACCGATTAAATAGGGTCGTTTATCCTCCTTGACTGAAGTGTACTACATGTTAGAAATCAGTGGTTGGATACTCTAAATGAGAGAGATTGATGCAAACCTCAGCTGGTGAGATGTATAGTTGGAGCTTTATGGCATAGACACTATGTTATAAGTTATGCTCCATATACCGAGTTTGAACAGTGTGTTATTATTGTAATTCTGTTAGTTGGATGAAGACAATCGACAGGAAGCCCTGTATCTAGGTTTCGTGTTGTTGGCACTCATCAGCAAGGCGTATCTGTAACGCCTATGGGACTGATATCCCGCCTGAGATTCGAACCCGCATCACCCAGTGTTATAGTCAACGACGTCACCACTGAACTCCTGTAGGACTGGATTAGATATATTGATTGGTCACTGGAGAGTAACCAACTTCATGTTGTCTAGTTCTAAGTACTGACCAAATTCTTTCCATCATTTTGCAATGTGGCCACCAGACTAGACAGCTCAGCATCGCGATGCTTTTTGGTAGATGTTAGTTGGATGGAGGCAGTTAACAGAAAGCCCTAGATCTAGGTTTTGTGCTTGTTGGTACTCTTCAGCAAGGTGTATCTGCTTGGTCTAATGACCACATTGCAAAATGATCGTTAGGATTCAATCACCTGTTAGGACTAGACAACATGAAGTTGATTACCCTCCAGTGACCAGTCAAACTGTTATAATTTTTTATAGGATAGTTGCAATCTAATCTTGAATGTGTGATCATGTAAATAGTTACTGACTTCTCTCTTTATAGTGTTAAAAAATTGAACAGGTTATTATCCTTCATTGATTGATTCTACTGCCAATATCCTTCTGTTTCATTGTGGACTGTTACAGCTTGAACTAGTTCATTGCATAGTGGCGCGTCCTACGTTGAGAGTATCCATCTGCCTATTTTCACTGCCTTATTATGTTTGTTCTATATATATAAATCGGTGTCATTACTTTTGTTACTTTCTGTTTCCGCTTGTTGACTGCCCTCTACTATGGACTAACTTGACTTGTTATCGTCTTTGATGGATATACGCTTTTATACGGTTTTGGATCGTCTTTTGTCTCTTCAAGAGATTAAAACATGATCGAAACACAAGTCTAGAAGTTTTAGGCACTAAGGTAGAATATTATCCCATTTTAGTTTATTGTTGTTTTGATACTTGTAATTTCCCGTTCCTATACAGAGCCGAGTTGCTCGACCTCTGTTGGTAAATGGACTCCTATGCTTGATGCCTTGATTCTGTTGGATATTCATCATGTTATATTTATCTTGATGGCTTGCAGAGGAATCCAGGACTCGCGTTTCATCCTATTTTGGACTAGTCAGCTGGATGTACCTGCAGCTCAGTGACCTATTTTATTCCCATTGAGACCCAAATACATTATCTGTCGCTTCAAACCCCAAAGCTTTATCCACTGGGGCATGAGAGCCGTCTTTTGTGCAACAGGTGTCAGCTCCATTTGTAGTCACCAAGATGAATATACTATCATGAGACAGCTGTCCAGGTCTTCAGTGGTTCTCCAGCTGATGTCACTTCATGATGTATACTACCTTAAAACTTAATATTGTATATGTTTTATCACCGTTAATTAATCTTCATATGTTTGACATTTTATTTCTTTTTATTATTTTAGCTGTTCATCATGAAGAGTTTATTCTCAGTGGAACACTGCGTCAAGAACTGGATTTCGATGCATACCAGATTCAGTATGTTAACACACTACGTAATGGTTTGAAAGCCGCTGTTGCTGCAGCAGCAGCAGCGGCTACATTGTCTAACGACAATGACAACAGTAATAATAGTAACAATGTTAATTCATCAACAATCACTGTCATACCTCCACCTACATCTTTGAGATTTGAAAGTAATCCAACTAATCAAATTCATAATACTATTTTATCATCAGCAACAGCAGTAGCAGCAGCACCATTTGATGAACGAATTCCTCATAGTCAAACAGCTACTATTTCAGCATTGAATCGTGTAATTTATACCTCGTCTTCACCTATCACGTTAAATACTTCATGTCAGCAGTTAAATCCTTCTCTAACCTATCAAGCAGTTAATTTGTTGTCTGTGTCTAAGAGTCAATCAGCTATGCCTACTGAATTGAAGTCTGTTCTGTCTACTAGGAGTAGTAATGCAGAAGATTTTCATCATCGTCATCCTCCTTATATTCAACCCTATGCAACTATCTCTACATATCAACCGTCAAATGATACACAGTCATGTGTAAATCAGCCTCAGTTAACTTGTTCATCTGAGTTGACATGTCAGTCAATTGTGAACAATACACCTTCTTCTCGTCTTATCTCCATTGTTCCATCAATTACTAAAGCTGATACAAATTTAAGTTATCTTTTATCACGACCTAATACATTAGATCAAATCTCTGCAACAAATATACCGAATACATCATCATTATCATCTTATGTGTTGTCTTCGACTGTTTCTCCACCAGTTTCAACACCATCACAACTACCACTATTAACATCACGTCAAGAGTTTGTTAAAATTCAACCAGAAACTACAGTTGTTAGCTTGTCTCATGTTGGTACAGCCAACTCGGTTACAGACTTAATTATATCAGTTTGTACAATAGATAAATGTCCAGTAACTAACTCACTGCTTACCAGCAATAATAATAATAATAATAATAATAATAATATGCTTCCACCGAAGTCATCTGTTACCGCTCTTACCTCAAGTTTTGATAACAATGCAAGTAATCATAAACGAAATGTGATTGGAAATACTCGCCCTAGTAGTCTTTTATTAACTGGTGGTCCTGTCTTGGATCCATTCTTATCTTCATTACCTAATCAGGAGGTAAGACAAACAATTGTACATCGTCCAGTGACACCATTGACAGCAATGATTGTAGCAGCAGAATCAGGAGTTGGCGATATAATGAATCCATTGCCGATTTGTTGTGATACAAATGATTGTGTCGGTTCTGTATCTACATTTATGATACCGAAATCCAGTGGGTTTCGAGGTCAGGTACCGAATGTGACTGTTTCATCTGTTAATTTGAATGCACGTATTGCAGCAGCGGATGCAAATGCTGTAGCCAGTGCAACTGCTGCTGCAGTAAGTGCACTCAGTAGCAGTGGTAGCGGTGGGAACATTAACAATACTGATATAGTAAGTAAAACTGGTTTAGGATTATCAGTTTCAACACCTGGCTTGCCTATTCGATCACCTAGAAATACTGTACTTACTACAAATCCATTCCCTGCTGAAATAATTGATTCACCAAGGCATTTAATATCTGGTATTCAACAACCGTTATCAAAGTTATCTTCATCTTCACCAACTGTTAGTTCATTCGATGTAGTCAAGAATCTCATCAAGAGTCAAAACAATTTCAGAGTTGATAGTTGTAATAAAGAATGTAGTAATAGTATTACTAGTACCATTATTGGTAGTAATAATAATACAGACGGGATCACATCAAATGATGATTGTACTAACTTTGGACCTATTCTTCAATCCTCCTCTTCCATAACACAGCCTTCACATATAATAATCCCTTCTTCAATGTTGCTTATGAAAAATAGTTTAGTTAGTCTTTCCGATTCGTCGACTTCAGAAATAATGATGATAACTGGTACAGCGCCGACAACAATAGTAGCAGCTGCAGCAAATACAACAACAACAGATTCCTTAAATCTTTGTAGCGTTATATTACCGGATACATCGAGTTACTTTCCTTCCCAATCGATAAATTCATCGTCATTATCCCTATCATCTTCAGTTTCCACATTATTTACATCTGATTCAAATATCTGCTTAATGAAAGAGCAATCAAGTAATTTTTCTACTCTATGTGATTTCAATTATGAAATTGACATTAACAGAGATGCATCTATGTCAAGTAATCATAATGACAATTCTGAAATTTGTATTATCCATGTAGATGCTACTAATGCCGCTACCACCACCACTACTACTACTATTACTACTGCATGTATCAATACTAATATTAATAGTAATAGTAGTACAATTACAATCCCTTTATCTGAATTAGATTGTTCTACTGTAATTAACGATGATATTTGTTGCAATAATGTTAATAATAATCTATGCACAGTCCAATCAACCATTCCTGATGAACACTTATGTACTTCATATGTAATGTTATCCTCTTCCTTGGCATCTTCACCAGTAACAATATCATCATCGACAACACCACCAACAACAACAACCATTTCGTGCAATGATCATACACAAGTTGAATAGGTAAATGTTATTTGAAGGCTTGATTGCAGCCTCTTGTTTGTTAATTTCTACATAGAATGATGATCTGTCTTTCAATGGATAACAGTATGACTTTGGTAATAAGTATGGTTGAAGGGCTAATGGGTACATACTTTTTTCCCATAGAGGAACATTTTTAGTGATGATGACGATGATGATAATAACAGTACAGGTTGTCAATTCCAGTTGATTGGCGACAGTCGGCAGAAAGCTCTGAACCTGGGTTTCGTACTCGTTGGCACTCGTCAGCAAGGCGTATCTGCAACCTCGACGGGATTGATGTGTCGCCTGATATTCGAACCTGCGTCAGCCAGTGTTGTAGCCAGCTACTTTATCACTGAGCTATTCGGGCCGCGATTAACCTCCTGTAGTACTGGGTTACATGTATTGATTAGCTACGGGAGAGCGACAAATTCCATGTTGTTTAGTCCTGAGTGCAGACCGAATCCTATGGATCATACTTGCAACATGAAGTTTGTTGCTCTTCCGTGACCAGTCAATAAAGGTTGTCAGTTTGTATCGAACGCAGTGTATGTGAACGGATGTGCTATCCACACTCCAAATTATATATCCCAAAGAAAAAATTAAGAGTTATCAGAGCAAGATGGTCAATGAATTCAATATCTTAATGATAGATGACGGCTAGCAGTGAAATCCAGCATGTGCGTTTCGTTCTACTCGGAACTCGTCAACTGGATATACCTGCATTCCCGTGAGTGAATTTCACCCCACTTAGGCTTGGATCCCGAACCGATTGCGTCAAACGCCAGGGCCTTATCCACTAAGCCACAAAGTCACGATAGCCACTTCTTGTACAACCGGCATAGTTTATATAATGTTGTGTTATCCTATGCATATCTTTAGTTACTGTTCTTGAAAATAACTCATTGATACTGCACATATTTATACGTTTATGTATAGTAAATAAAGTGTAAACATCTAATTCTCACACAAGCTACTCATAAACGAAATGAGTAGTTGAGTGTTATTCATTGATTAGTCACTGCAGCCTAACCTGTTTCACACGGTCTAAACCTAAATGCTAACCTAGTTCTATCGACCGTTTTCGCAAAGTAGTCATTAGGCTAGGAAATTGACCATGGTAGTGCACTTTGATTCATGTTAGATGGTTGGAGATAATTGGCAGGAAGCTTTACTCGATCTATGTCTCGTATTTGTTTGCGCCCCTCGGTGAAGCGCATCTCCAAACTCGGTCATCACTTAGGACTAGACAACATGAAGCCGGTTAACCTTCTGCAACCAATCAACATATCCAATTCAGCCCTATCCGAAGCCGACCATCGCTTACGTAGCTCGATGGTAAGGTGTCTGAGAACAGGACTAGATGACCGCGGTCCGAGTCTCTGGTGAGTGCTAACAAGCACGAGAACTAGTTCAGGCAGTGTTTTATGCCGATTGCCTACAACCATATACCTTCAATTGAGTATTATTCCTCACTGACCGAATACCATAGGATTCGTCAGAGGTGTTGGAATGATTTTCTTTGTGACACGATCTCCTCCATGTCACCATCGGTTCTGACGTTCAACTTGTCGTTTCCTATTTCGGTTGCACTCGAATGCTCGGTGTGATGTGGCGTAGCCTGACCTGACACGTGATGTTCCTAAATGGTCTTCTCAGTGTATGTTCAATATAATCCAATCGATGTGCACTTTGTTGTGGATATTTGTTGGATGATGGGTTCTAGGTTGGTTCGTTGCATGCATGCATGCATGCTTGCCGGCTGGCCGGCTTGACAAGTGAGTTTGTTGGGAGAGAGAGAGAGAGAGAGAGAGAGAGAGAGAGATCAGATTGTTTGAAATACATTACGCAAATACATCAGATCGTTCAGATAAACTTCGTCTTCGGATTACGCTATCGAAAAAAGAGGGGGGGGGGGTGTAGAGATAGCACGAGCTTCAGCGATGCGGAGAATACGCAGACATTCAGCCTTTGAGAGGTTTCTTTTCACTTCATAAATGACTTTAAACGAGGAGGTTTTTGAGATAGAGTGATTTGTTTTCATTATATGTTCACTTGTAGCCCTTCTTATTGCTCCATTGTTACTTCTTTGTAACCACATAGGATAGTGTTCTTGAACCCTTTTTGACAATAGCAGTCGCGTCAAACGACCTATACACTTGGCTCCACAAGGGCAGGTGAATTGATATATGCATATGGAAGTGGTGAGATGCGAGAGTTTCTCCTTTAAGTTGTTAGAAATTGAAAGGAGACTCTTCGCTGAAATATATATATATATATATATATATATATATATATATATATATATATATATATATATATATATATAATCTTAGCCAACACTAACTGTCTGATTCATATGATTACATCTTGTTATTGTATTCTTTTGTCTTTTTTTGTTCCTTTAGATTAATTATAACAACTAACCAAGGGTTATCCAGCCTATTTGCAATGTATGTTGTCATTGGCTATTGTAGAAGTCTTGCGTCATTGTAATTCACCAAATGCATGTACATCCTACCATTATTATCACTTTACTGTATTATTATTATCATCATTACTATTATTATTATTATTATTATTATTATTATTATTATTATCATTATCACGACTACTGTGACCATCATATAATAATTCATTTTGCGAATAGCTCAATTGTTTTCTTCTTACCTTTTGTATTTATTGAATCCCATTGTCTTTCTGTTGGTTTGTTACTGTAGCGTATCATTTATTGTTATTATTATTAGTAGTATAAGTTGTTTTGATAGTGTTCCATTTACAGTGAATGAAGGCCATTTTTCCCCTCTATGGTCACTTGATGTACAACCTCTAAGTACACATCTATTTTAATTACTTACGCTTAAAAGCGCATTTATTTTATTTCATTTCTCCTCCTCCTTTTCCTCATACTTTTTTGCTATCCTATCCTTACGTATTTCGTGTTGATTATTTAATAATTATGTGTTCCCACAACTGCTTCCCTGTGTCTTTAGTCTTCCTTATTAAGTCTCTGTTGTATAGTGCGTATTCTTATTGAACAAGGGGTGCATAGTTACATTGAGCACCGTTTTGTTCTTTAAGATATATTGCACACACTTGAGCACTGATAATATAATGAAATACATACATAGTAAATACATGCTCATATTCTTTATCCGATTTTTTGTTGTGTTTTGTTTACTTATTTCTTCATATTCGTTTGTTAGTTTTACCTTGTTTAATGCTAATTAATATTTTTAAGGTTTTTGCAACTACTTGTACTACTCCTGTTCTTTGGCCTTGTTTATCTGCCAGCCCCCCGTAAAACCTGTTATATTATCCTATGCATATCTTTAGTTACTGTTCTTGAAAATAACTCATTGATACTGCACATATTTATACGTTTATGTATAGTAAATAAAGTGTAAACATCTAATTCTCACACAAGCTACTCATAAACGAAATGAGTAGTTGAGTGTTATTCATTGATTAGTCACTGCAGCCTAACCTGTTTCACACGGTCTAAACCTAAATGCTAACCTAGTTCTATCGACCGTTTTCGCAAAGTAGTCATTAGGCTAGGAAATTGACCATGGTAGTGCACTTTGATTCATGTTAGATGGTTGGAGATAATTGGCAGGAAGCTTTACTCGATCTATGTCTCGTATTTGTTTGCGCCCCTCGGTGAAGCGCATCTCCAAACTCGGTCATCACTTAGGACTAGACAACATGAAGCCGGTTAACCTTCTGCAACCAATCAACATATCCAATTCAGCCCTATCCGAAGTCGACCATCGCTTATGTAGCTCGATGAGACCAGGACTAGATGACAGTGGTCCGAGTCTCTGATGAGTGCTAACAAGCACGAGAACTAGTTCAGGCAGTGTTTTATGCCGATTGCCTACAACCATATACCTTCAATTGAGTATTATTCCTCACTGACCGAATACCATAGGATTCGTCAGAGGTGATGGAATGGTTTTCTTTGTGACACGATCTCCTCCATGTTACTATCGGTTCTGACGTTCAACTTGTCGTTTCCTATTTCGGTTGCACTCGAATGCTCGGCGTGATGTGGCGTAGCGTGGAGTGGCGTGGTGTGGTGTGGCGTAGCCTGACCTGACACGTGATGTCCCCAAACGGTCTTCTCAGTGTATGTTCAATACAATCCAATCCATGTGCACTTTGTTGTGGATATTTGTTGGATGATGGATTCTTGGTTGGTTCGTTGCATGCATGCATGCATGCTTGCCGGCTGGCCGGCCGGCCGGCTGGGCAGCCTGCCATCCAGAGTTTGTTGTTGCTTATTCTTATTATTCTGGCCATGTGATGTGATCTTCATTGTCAGTATGGAGTGAGTGTAGGTGGCGGCAGGTGTTGATGATGATGATGATGATGATGTATGTGTGTTGTTTGTTTGTTGTGAATGGTTTTGGTGAGGCGCTGCGGAGTCTGTGAACCATGACATAGAAGCAGTGACTTGACGTTGATGTTGAGCATCGGGATGTTGTTCACGCTTTATGCTGAGTTGAGTTGAGTGGAGTGGAGTGGAGTAGGTCTCCACACTGACTTCAGATTAATGAAGGAAGGCCTTTGTTGGTTGTCTTTCTTTGTTCAGACTTCGTTAAGATTTCTTCTGTTGATGGTGATACTTGCTGCTTCAGTTGTTGTTGTTGGTTGAGCACCTGCATCACGTCTGTCTTCTGTACGTTCACGTTAAGGAAGTCCCATCTTCCTTCGTTGTGGTGCCTCGCCTCTTCTACCAACTTGCTGGTTTTCACCTATGTATCTTCGAGTTTGTGTGAGAAGACATTAGACATAAATGATCATCGTTGTCGAAATGGGAATCTTCTTCAGGGGTCTTTTCATCGGTGCAGCCAGCGTATGTCCATCTTCTCGCTGATCACAGTTGTCTGTTGCATGATGCAGTCGTGTGTAGTTGAGCACAATGAGGAAGATGATGGTTGATAGTGGGGGGCAGCCTTGTCTTACTCCTGTCTTCATTTCGCTTCACTTCGCAGACCTCATGGAGCTTTTTGTTTTGAAATTTCTTACATCATCTGTTATGTCCTATCGGAGAAGGTGCAATAATGACGTATTTGTTGGACGTATAAGTAGCAGTCGAGGTATTAGAAGTTTTTTGCAGATGACCGTCGATAATCTGATTTGCGGAACAGATAGTAAGTATTGTAATGGGTGTGATTTCGCGAGAATGTAATAAGCTCTGCATTGTTCCAGTTTTCTATTCGGATAAATAGTGAAACTTCGTGTATTTCGATAAATGTTATTATTATAATAATTGGGTAACGTAAGAAGTAAAAGGAAACATAATTGAAGTTATCAGTATTGTTTTTGCTAGGCGAAATGACATATATCTGGATTTTACATAGTGGAATAATTTTCATTTACATGTTGATTATGAATGAAATACATAGAAAATGGACCAGACGAGATGAAGATAATCATATGCAGTCATTAAAAGTTGATGCATCGGTTTATTCTAAATATTCTGTTTTGCTGTATTATGAATGATAATAATTTGAGTGGTTGGAGATATTTTTGTACAATTACATTAAATCTTGGTTTACGCATATTCTTTTCGTTGGTCGATCTTCATTATTAATTGTAGGTGTAGTCATTACATACGATTTGATGGAGTACAGTAGTTTTTTGATACCTTCTTAAATCACTTTCCTGAACGGTAAGTTAAAGAATAAGACTATTTGTTGACTCAGTAACTTCTTACCTTAACTATTCTAGTGCATTTTTATTTATATGCACAAATAAAACAATATGGGCGTAGTCCGAATTAGTAGTTCTGCTTGAGGAGTTCAACTAGTATACATGCGTCAGGCTACCATCCATAATAAGCTATCAGTTCTGGTTTGGTTGAAAAGTTAACGTACTGTTTACTTCCAATTTAGATGTTTTATTAATATATGAATAAAACTTGGGCACTGTGGCAGGTTTTGATTTCATTCTTAGTCTGTTTATTAGAAATCCCACACAGTCGAACAGTATTATTTAGTGGATGACATTTTGGACATAGTGGAATACATCCATTTGATCATAGGACAAAACAAGTCGTAGTTTTAGCGAAGAAAAATTTTTCATTTCCACCAAGTTATTTACTAACCTGTACATTCGTGAATATATGTGACAGTGGGAAGAACGTCACAGAAATATTTCCGGTTAGGGGGCAAAATATATTGAATCACTAAAGGAAACTAATTAATACACATTTGGGTCAATAGTGGGAAAATAGACAAGTGATTATGAAATTAAATGTAGTTATGCAATACAGGATGAATGTATAGCAAAGTAGGAAACTGAATGAAGAGTTATGAAGACAAAATTGCAATACCGGATATACCTATGGCAGCATCAAAATAAATAGTAGATCATGAAAATAAGATTGTAATTACATTGTGCAGGTTAAACCTATGACAGTAGAAAAATGAATAAGGTTTGAAGGAAATACATGTGTAGCTTCCTGATACAAAGTGGATCTATAGCAGACAAGGCTTTATGATGATCATGGCCACGTCCAACCTTTATTTTTGAAATCACAATTAAATTCGACGTTCCATTTTCTTGATGTTCAATTCCAAAGAAAAGACGATAATTCACTTCATTGATCGATCTGGAGAAAGCCTACATGGGACCGAAAATTTGTTACTTTTCAAAGTCCAGTCGTTCTATGTAGGAAAAGAAATCTTATTCATTCTTTTTCCTCGAGGATGAGGAAAATATGTAGTGGGGACACTGTTGACGGAGAACTGCAAATACTTTGACGAACTGTAGCGGTAAAGGGTTCCCCGCTTAGATTCATAGAAAAGAAGATAAACTCAAATAGTCGAAGTGAATGAACACATTTGGCGCCGAAAAAGCTTGTTTTGTTGAGTGTTGAATTCGAAAATGATATTGCTACAGAGATCGTCAGGAAACGACTATGAGGATCCTTAAATAGAACATACTTCACCACCAACCTTTGAATTATTTAGTCGTGCAAGAAAGTTTTTGGTCAATGTGTGAGGGACAAGCCGACTCATTGGACCACATCAATGTGTGTATACCAGTTTATTTTGTCTTGTGTAGCTGAGTACATCAGCTGTACCATGTGTCCACTTGTAAAACGAGCCTGCGAACACTATCCAGCCCGACTGGCAAAAGGAGAACGGAAGTGTATCTTCATTTCAAAAACAGAACACCTGGTGAACGTAGACGACTTGACTCCTTTTGAGAGGTCATTCAAAATTCTCTACATGTTTCTATGAAACCAGTGGAAGGGAGTAAGAGATGAAGGCATTTGTTTACAGCTGAAGGACTAGCCAACCAGGAGTTCAAATTAGTGTTATGGGTCCGAATAGGTATGTCCAACCTTTATTTTTTGCATAGGCATCATGAAGCCTTGACTGTCATAGATTCATACTGTATTACGCAATTGTACATTTATTTCCATGATCAGTTGTTTATTTTCCTACTCTATCATAGCTTTATCTGGTATTACATAGTAGGAATTTTATTTTCATAATCCCTTTTCTATTTTCGTACTCTTAACCCAAATGTGTATTAATTAATTTCGTTTAGTTATTCAATGTATTTTGCCCTTTAACCGGAAATATTTCTTGATTGTTCTTCCCACTGTAACATATATTGATGAATGTACAGGTTAGTAAATGACTTAGTCGAAAATATTACATTTTTCTTCTCTGCAACCACATTTCGGATATAATTTATTGTCCATATTCATATGAACATATGAACATTGACAAAAAATTATGTTTGAATTAATATCCAGTAAATGATACTGTTTGACTGTGTGATATTTCTAACAAACAGACTAAGATGGTATTAGGCGTTTTGTTAAAACAAATTTATTTTGTTCTACATTCACTGGGAAATATAAATTCCAAAATATTGAATATCATTTACCCAATACCGAAATATTTTATAGACCACATCGGAATCAGTTAGACTAATATCATGTCTAAGATCCTAGGGTCTAATTGGAGCTTGAGAGCAGAAAACCAAGCAGATTTCATGTGTTAACGAGAGTGCCTTGGTCAGATTTTCATTCTTCAACATGCTCCAGGACACATACATACTGACAGCCAACACTTGTAATATTTGTTGACTGACTTGAAGGCGGCGTTTGACCATCAACCGTGAGATGCTGTGGCAGTGACTAACTGCGAAGGGAGTACTGACTAAATATATAATATCAGCGGAAGTTCCCTACCTGCACTAGTACAGCCGTGTCAGAGCTAACAGGTAGTTACCAGTAAAACAGCTAAAATTACAGGGGATCTGGTATCCTCACTATGATTACAAAACACAATGAAAGGCAGAAATCAAGCGTAATACGTTTTACTTCAAGTGAGTTGAATGCATCTTTGGTTTTCATGCTCATGAAAACAGTTTGCAGTAGACGAATACGCTAGCTAATATCAACTCCAATCTACTTTTACTAACTTATTTAAGCATGTGGCAGCAAGTATATAAAAAGGAAGTATATTCTATCAAAACAGTGTATGTGTTAAAAGCACTCAATAGACAAAGTCGCCTAAAACTATGTTCATAAAAGACAGTAACAATAGCA